AAGGGTCATTGACGTCTGGAAAGACCGCTTCATCTTCGAGCCGCCGGTTCAACAGGCCATCGAACGCGGCATTGATGGTAAATATGTCCCCCACACACGACATCAACATGTACTGATGATGCTTCAGAACTCGATAAGGCTCGCGGAACTGCCAAGGCAAACTTCGCTAGTCCCGGAATTGGCGGTGGTGGTCCTTCCGTTCCAGCAGAGCTCACTCCGCTCGTCACTTCCTACACCAATGTATCAAAGCTCAACCTGCCCACTAAGACGGCTGTGAGCACCGCCAACCAGGATTTCGAAAAGGTTACCGACCCCTCGACACCCGTCCCATCGGCTCCCGTCTACGCGGCAAGACTTAACGGTCTCTTGAAGAGTTTGGCAAGTGCTGAGGGCGCTGTCGCAGAATGCGTCAAGGCCCGAAAGGGTCTCATTGGCGAGTTGGAGAAGATGCTCAGCGCAAGTCAGGAGGCACTTGCGAACGACGAGAGACAGCATGCCGACCTGATGTCCCGTAAGGCGGAGACGGAGGAGAAGAGACGTGAGATTGAGCAAGCCATTATGCGTGGACTGCCGACTCACGAGGCTTCGCAATCCCCTGGCAACGGAGCATCCAAGACCCCTGAGCCTGAGAGACCCGAAGTTGAGGCGCTCACACCTCCCCCCGTGGAGGCCTTCACACCGCCGTCTGTGGAAGCGCTCACCCCTCCCCCTGTCCACGACGAGCCGTCTGTTCCTCACCTCGCAGAAGAGGATCGTGCCCGCTCAGCATCGAGCCAGGGTTTCCAGCCTCCAGCAGCTTCGGGCATCGAAATGCTGTCAGCCCTTGCCTCGCAGTATCAATCTATCCCTGTCTCGGCAAACGGCGCGAAGAAGAGACGCCGAATCGACGGAGATGAGTTCCCTGACCTTGGAGGTGACGATGGGATCGATGCAGACGTAGCAGAAATGCTGCGTAAGGAAAGCAATGGCAGTGCATGAATAACCAGTTCATTACAGACTGCGACACTTCGTCCACTCGTTATGCCACAGACACGACATTGAGAGATTTTGGGCAAACAGGGGCATGTAGTATTATACTAAAGAGCACGCCGCAGACGTCATTAGTTCTCACGACCAACTACGAAGATTGGTCGAACACTCGAGGGCTCACTATGGGACGGAACCTCGACAGCTGTACTCGGAAATTCGAAGCAGGAAAACAACCTTCTAGGCACTGGCCATCCTTGGGAACATGGTTTGAGGTGGAAATCAGAAGAGTCGAGGCCAATCGCCAGCTCATGTGTTTATAGTATGTTAGAAGCCAAGTAGCTAGGAATCACAACAAAACAGGACAAGCAATTAGTTGAGCCGATTTGAATCCTTGATGATGGTCAAATAGTGCAATTTGACCAGAGTGAGTGGTGAACCGCATATAATCACTTTACTGCCGTAGATACTCCATTTGCTTATTAGTGCTGTTCCTTCTGATCCTCGGCTGCTGCGGAGTGACGGGAGCATTCAGGTCGGCGAAAAGACATGCCCGGGCCGACTATCACCGAGGGGCCCTACTAAGGTCAGGTAGCGGCCAGCAGCGTCCCGTCCGCTGTCAGCATTCCTCCAGGTACGGCTATGCATCGAGCGCTGTAAATTTCGAGCGCAAACCGATGACGGAATCTCTTCGGTCCTTTCGTAAAACTACCTAGGTCGTGACTGTATACATGCGCAACCCGTCGTCGAGCTTCTTCGTATAATGGTCCACCCTTCTTCATCGCTTTCTGACTATGCGCTTCCCATGAGATAAATTCTTCTTCTGATTCTACCATGGCTATGGGAGTAGTGCGATCCGCGGTGTTGCTCCCGCATCGCGCCGGGAGCTGCCCGACGACATTGGCATCGCTGATGACAACCCTTCCCGGCCTGCGCAGTACCTCGACGATACCCCCAGTACTACAACATCCTCTTCTGTCACAGATTAGAAGCTTCAGCTCGAAGCCCGTTCAATCATTAACTGCAGCGCGGTCCGCTGCCGTCCAACGATCTTCGCTACATCGACCCGTTCCCCTCTCCCAAAAGCCTCAACTGCCCGGACCGATCGCGATCTTGCGCTATTTCTCGAACGGATTCTCCAAGCAACGAGACTCCCAGCCTACAACGCAAACTCCGGCTACGCGAGGCGGTGACAAGGACGCGAATCAGACCGAATCCACCTCACGAGACCCCGAACAACCTGATGACTTCCAGAAGAGCGAGCGGGCTGCTAAGGCTGCCCAGGTCAACCTCAGTGCCAAGTTGTCAAAGGAGGGCAAGTCGCAAGGCGGCAAGGCCGGATTTTCCGAGATTTGGCGATTGATCAAGATTGCGCGGCCGGAGCTGCGGTGGCTGGGAATCGCCATGATCTTCCTCGTCATCTCGTCTGGTGTCACCATGTCCATCCCGTTTTCCGTCGGCAGAATCCTCGATATGGCTACCAAAGACCCTACTGAGGATGCGCGCCTGTTCGGCTTGACCATGCCGCAGTTCTTCACGGCCTTGGGTGTTATCTTGACCGTCGGAGCCATGGCCAACTTTGGACGCGTAATTCTCCTACGTATCGTTGGCGAACGAGTTGTTGCCCGTCTGCGATCGTCCCTCTATCGGCGAACATATGTACAGGATGCCGAGTTTTTCGACGCAAACCGAGTTGGAGATCTCATTTCGCGACTTAGTTCTGATACCGTCATCGTCGGCAAGTCCATCACCCAGAACATCAGCGATGGCTTGCGGGCTCTTTTCAGCGGAGGAGCCGGTTTCTGTGTCATGGTCTGGCTTAGTCCCAAGTTGACTGGACTTCTCCTCATCATGTTGCCGCCTGTTGCGGTTGGAGCCTTCTTCTACGGACGCGCGATCAGAAACGTGAGTAAGGGAATTCAGAAGAATCTTGGTACCTTGACGAAGATTGCCGAAGAGCGCCTCGGCAACGTGAAAACAAGCCAGGCATTTGTTGGAGAGGTCCAAGAAGTCGGCCGCTACAATCGCCAGGTCAAGAAGATTTTCGCCCTGGGTAAGAAGGAATCTACGATCGCTGCCACTTTCTTCGCCTCGACGGGCTGGGCTGGTAACATGACCATCCTTGCCATGCTTATCGTCGGCGGTAACTTTGTCCGCGATGGCGCCATGACGCTAGGAGACCTGACATCTTTTATGATGTACACGGCTTTTGCAGGATCTAGTCTGTTTGGCCTTTCGTCTTTCTATTCAGAGCTGATGAAAGGAGTGGGTGCTGCCAGCCGCCTCTTTGAGCTGCAAGACCGAAAGCCAGGCATCTCACAGACTGTCGGGCTCAAGGTGAAGTCTGCACAAGGTCCGATTCGATTCTCCAATGTTTCGTTCGCCTACCCTACACGACCTGCCGTCAATATTTTCAACGATCTCAACTTTGAGATTCCTTCGGGCAGCAATGTCTGTGTTGTGGGGCCTTCCGGGGGTGGTAAATCAACCGTTGCCGGCCTGCTGTTACGATTCTACAATCCAATCTCTGGCTCTATTACTATCAATGGCGTTGACATTTCAAAGATGAATGTCAAGTCACTGCGACGCCGTATCGGCATGGTTGCGCAGGAACCTGTCTTGTTCTCTGGCTCGATCGCTGACAACATTTCCTATGGCAAGCCCAACGCCACCCGAGCTGAAATCATCGCGGCCGCGCGGAAGGCCAACTGCAACTTTATCAGTGACCTTCCCTCTGGATTGGACACGCAGGTGGGAGCTAGAGGCTCACAGCTGTCGGGAGGTCAGAAGCAGCGCATCGCCATCGCGCGAGCGTTGATCAAGGACCCCGATATTCTTATCCTTGACGAGGCTACTTCCGCCTTGGACGCCGAATCCGAGACGCTTGTCAACGCCGCCCTTACCTCGCTTCTCAGAGGCAGAAACACAACCATTTCCATTGCTCACCGACTGTCAACTATTAAGCGGTCTGACTTGATCATTGTTCTTTCCAACAACGGCGGAGTCGCAGAGATTGGCAAGTACACGGAGCTTTCTGCCGACAAGGACAGCGCCTTTAGCAAGCTCATGGAGTGGCAGATGAGCGGCGGCGACGTTCCCGACCCTCGCTCTAGCGACAGGGCTCATATTACAGAAGAGGAAGAAATCGAATCTGACCTAGAGCGGGAGGAGGGTGAAGAGGAGGTTGAGGAGCAGCTGCAAGAGGAGACGAGGGAGAAGGAGGCACGGCGGTAATAAGGCGTATTCCACTTGATCTTTGGACAAGAATGGATTGCTTTGAGTGGGAAAATGTGTGATTTTCTTGTGTTTTATATCAAAAAGGCTGCTTAACTATGAAGCAGCGGTTCGGCAGCAACGGCGAATCACTTTCTGCTATGGCGCAGCTCACACCGTGCTGCCGTCTTGTGTACTACAAACTATTCATCGGTCACACAGCATCATAGAATAACTCCGCTCGATCTTGATGGACGTCTGGAGTGCTCCAAATTCAATACTTTGAATGCGTTTGATCGCCAGAAGACAGAATATGAACATGATCTGTGAGGTACTCTTCGAGTTGCCAGGATGCATACTATGAACTCGTCTACCTTGTTTGTCCATCTTAGAGTAGTACGGCTCTGGAAACCTTGCAGGCTAGAAAGGTCTAGTCTAGAACTCTTCATTGTTCAAGTTGACGCCGTTCCAAACGGCAGGTCGGCGTGCGAGTACCTGTGTCGCTGAGCCAGAAACGGACGGTAACCGGAAGCTTCCATTGGAGAAGCTGGAGTTTACAGTAAGCTCCGAGCTCCCCGTGTCTGCAAGCGGAGCTCAGCTCTTTGAGTGCCATGGCCCATGGCCCATGGCCACAGCGCCACCACCACGCACCTTGGATGTCTTGAATCCGAACCCCAACAATAACACGTGAATTTCATCTCACCTCATCGCTTCTCATAACCCTTAGCTCATCGTGAGAATTTCGCTATATATTTGTATCTACAATCATATAGTCTTGTGTCAAAACCGTCAACCGATCTTATAGCATCATTGTCGTCATCATGGCCACGCAGACCGAGGGCACCTTTGAGGTGGACGGCCATAAGCTTCACAGCACAACATGGACGGTAAGTGTAGACTCGTCACATTCACTCAACTCACTCCCTCAATGCATCCCATGATGAATAAACACCCGGGCATGCTGACGCTGTACCATCAGCCCGAGGGTCCCATCAAGGCCAAGCTGGTCTTCGTACACGGCTTCAGCGACCACGTGGGACGGTACGACGAGCTCTTCCCCAACCTCGCCGGCCGCGGCATCCAGGTCTTTAGCTGGGACCAGCGCGGATGGGGCCGCAGCGCCGCGACCAAGTCCGATCGGGGCCTCACGGGCCCGACGTCGCGCGTCCTCGCCGACGTGGCCGCCTTTATCAAATCCAAGATCCCGGCGTCCCCGCCGGACGCGCCGCTCTTCGTCATGGGCCACTCCATGGGCGGCGGCCAGGTTCTCGCGCTGGCCAGCGACCCGCAGTACCACGACCTCGTCGGCCAGGTGCGCGGCTGGCTCCTCGAGAGCCCCTTCATCGCCTTTACGCCCGGCGAGGAGCCGAGCTTCTTGAAGGTCTTCTTCGGCAAGCTCGCGAGTAAGGTCCTGCCCAAGCAGCAGCTCGTCAACGAGATCCCCGCCGAGCACCTTACGCGCGATAAATCGGCGCAACAGAGCATCCGCGACGACGACCTCATGCACAACACGGGCACGCTCGAGGGACTGGCGGGCATGCTGGAGCGGACGGACCAGCTTGCGCAGAACAAGCTGACGCTGAGCGGCAACGTCAAGAGTCTCTGGCTGGGTCACGGCACCGAGGACAAGACGACGTGCTTCAACGCTAGCAAGAAGTGGTTCGGCGCGCAAACGACGATCGAGGACGGGCACCATAAGCCGTACGAGGGGGCGTATCACCAGCTGCACGCGGATTTGTGCAAGGACGAGTTCTTCAAGGATGTTGGGGATTGGATCCTTGAGAGGGCTGGAGAGCCTGCGGCGGCGGCGGCGGCGGCGAAGCCTGAATCCAAGCTGTAGGAGACTGAACGGGCCTGCGGCGTATCTGCCTCTGCCTTTGCCAATGGTCCATGGGACCGGTACTTGTGTCTTGATTTGCTGATTGCGATGTATGACTGTGCTTGGAAAGGTCCAGGTTATACCTGCCCCCACGCCAGTCTCTATGATACACCAGAGCTGGTGGGATACCATTGGTATGGACGTTGTCGTTTCTTGGTAGGATCAATGGATGAGTTCCTTTTTAGCAGTATATTAATGTCATTCAAGTCATTTGCCATTTCTACTCTCATTTAGCAATATCTCCGGCTCATGGACCGAACACATATCCAATCATTCTTTTGGTGTTCTTCTTCACAAGCCTGTTGAGGTAAGGTGTACGCGTGTAAATCGACGCCAAGATTGCCGAGCGGGTGGGATGTGACCCGGTTCCGGTTGTGCCCGAAGCACATGAGAAATGGGGGACCCGAATCCAATGGCGCCCCAGTTCTCCGGCAGGTCTCGGTCTCCGGGGGGCCCTCCAGGTAACGGCTTGTTTCGAAACATAAAGTCGACCCGCATCCCCGGGATTTTCAACTTCATCCCTTTCATTTCTGTGCCCTACTCATAAGGATCGTGGATGGGGTTCTCTGGGCCACTGCTTCCGGAGTGTGTGCGACAATGCAGCAGTTCCCCACCTCTCTACTGAGAGCTGACCATCAAAGTCCGCTCTCACTCTCTCTCACTATCGATTAGAAGAGCCACAAAGCAAAGTGCTTCTGCTATCTACTTTCAAGCCGCTTTATTTGTCTCAAAAGTTGGCTCGAAAGCCCCAGAATGGGGATGAGTGTGATCGATGAAGTCATCGAGATCACCGGCTCACGTACAGGACCCAGGCATTGGACTGTCTGGCGCCAAACATAGAGATTCCATTGTGTCCACCCCATTTTCCAGCGCTCAAACAGTGAGCTGTTTGGTTGGGCGTCACCTACTCGGTCTCCCACGCTTTACCCTCAACGTTGGTCACTAATAGTCTCTAGATGAAGCGAGGGCAGTTTCCCAGACATCCTGAGGGCAAGTCCGCCGACTTTCTCTCTCTTTCTGCACTGTCATTTTACCACTTCGAGCCTACAATATGCTAATGCAACTTAGTCTAGACTGTCCATCACCTCAATCGCGTCGCCCGAGACGACAGTCGACCTCCTCTTCCCCGTGGGCAAATGATTGGCCCACAGTCGTTTTACCTCATGAACATGTTCTCTCTTTCCATGTCCAACCTCCACCTCCCCGGCACTTTTGGCGAGCTAATCAACGACACGGCAGAATAAGCAAGAGACGCCAGCGCCAGTGGGGAAGAAGCGCACCTCACACGGCAGCAGCTCGACGACAACACATCCCGTTGCACCCGCTATCCCCGCACATCCTGCAGCGATCCTGCCCCCAGAAACCTGCAATACTCCGTACCAAATATGATGTCCTTTCCTGAAAGCCCGCCTTGAGAGGGGAGAGAAGGTGTGGGCTTTGTTTGCCGGGCAACGACACGGGTTCTGAAGCTCTTTGAAATACCATAGGCGACATGACCCAGACACCGAACTTCCATTCTGCATCACACTCCAAACGTCTCCTTCGCCACCCTTCCTCTCATCTCAAAGCCCGTCAGCCTGGCTTATATCGATACACTGGAAACAAGGGATTCGTCAAACGTCATATTATCAACTTGTATCCTGTACTGCGCATAACTTACGGTTCATGAATCTGACGCCTGCCGCGGCCATGGAGCCCGATCTCTCCATGAGCATCACCATGCACCCGCACCCCTTTCGGCTGCACACGCCATCCCATCTTGCAAACACCTCCCGCAGAGGCTCGATGCAACTCTCCAGCGAGGATGTCGCAGCCAACGCCTCTAGTACGGCCATAGAGGCCGCACCTCACCATCCCGCCTCGCACGATGAGAAGCACGAGCCCATCGCCCGACACTCTTCTGCCGCTACCGATGTTGAAGGCCAGCACCATTTGCGATCCGATTCGGACCCTTACGGCCTCTCCGCGGCCTTCAAGACGCCGGAGGACCTCGCCCTGATCAGAGCCAACACCTCGCGCAAACGGGACAGTCAACCCGCCACCGACAAACCCAGCGGTAGAACCTCGCCAAACGGCTCCTGGCGTCAGGGCCACAAGGTCCAGAAGTTCTACGAAACGCAGAACGCTGCCATCGAGCGCATGCTAAAGTCCGTCGACGAGCATGTCGCTGAGGCTCGCCAGGAAGCCGGCGACGACCAGCTACAGTTTCGGATCGCGGTCTGGGGCTCCTTCGCCGCAAATATCCTCCTCACAGCTCTGCAACTGTACGCGGCCATCAGCACCGGCTCCCTGTCACTCATCACCACGATGGCCGACGCCATCTTTGACCCCATGAGCAACCTGACCCTTATCCTGGCCGGCCGCGCCATCAAGAGGGTGAACCCGCGCCGCTTCCCCGCCGGCAAGGCCCGCCTCGAGACCGTCGGAAACATTGTCTTCTGCTTCCTCATGATCTCGGTCTCGCTCATCATTATCGCCTTTGCTGCGCGCGAGCTGGCTACCGAGAGGGAGTCGGCCAACGAGACAAAGGCTTTCCGTATTGAGCCAATCGTTGCCGTCTGTTGCGCCTTTGCAACCAAGTTTGTACTCTTCCTGTACTGCTTTTCCCTGCGAAACAGATACTCCCAGGTTCGAATCCTCTGGTCCGACCACCGCAACGACTTGCTGGTGAACGGCTTCGGTATCCTTACGTCTGTTGGCGGTTCAAAACTTAAGTGGTATATCGACCCAACTGGCGCCATAATATTGTCACTGATCGTATCCGGCATCTGGTTGCGAACCGCCATCGCCGAGTTTTTGCTACTCGTTGGTGTTACGGCCTCGATCGAGACCCAGCAGCTCATCACCTACGTCTGCTTGACGCACTCCCCTGCCATTCAGGGCATCGACACGGTACGTGTCTATCACTCAGGCCCACGGCTCATCGCCGAGGTGGATATTGTCATGGACCCCTCCAATACACTTGCCCAGACGCACGATGTGGCAGAGGCGCTGCAAGTCAAGTTGGAGAGTCTACCGGATGTGGAGCGGGCCTACGTACATATCGACTACGAGACTACACACAAGCCGGAGCATGCGTTCAAGAAGGACCTGTAAAGATGTGTAATAGTATACGCCAAATAGCCGATAGCAAAGCTCTCAGAAGAAACATTGAAGAGCATTATTATGACAGTTACAAAAGAACACTACTAGTTCCCGATGTTCCTTTTGGGGCCAACTCGAGTGACAAGAGCAATTCATAATCGTATCACAACCCCGTTTCGGCTCATTAGGCCCTTGACACCAGTGCGATGTGAGAGCCAGCCTCTGTGGACATACTTTGTAGAATTTATATGAACATACGCTCCCCAGTAGTGGTATGGCAAAAGGCACAAACTCGGCTCTTGCTGACAACATCTAGATTCACTTGACGTTAGCATCCCAGGGCTGTCCTAAGCAAAAGGGGGTATACGCACTCTGCCACATGGCTGTCTCGATGTCCCAGAATACTTGCTTGTGATCTCTCTGCTCGTTGAGCTGCATGCTGCTTAGCATGCTTGCGACATTCTGACCGCTCCCAAGAGATTTGAGCCACTGGTCACAACAACAACCCGGCCGCAAAGTGACCGAGCGCAGCTGAAGCAGTGTCGATGGCCGCAGATATTGGATAAAGGGGTCCATCCGGTGGCTCTGCGTCGCACGTAGCCTCAATCCGACAACGAAGTCATTGCGGCCATAGAGGATTGGGGTCCCTTCTTGTTCGATCTGCCTGCATGTCTGTAGGATCTCGACGTGGGGTTTCCCATGGGTGAGTGACACGACGCGAGGTCTCGGACGGGGGGCGCGTAGGTAGGCGACTTGGTGCTCCGGCGGCTTAACTTTGACGTGGAGCTGGCGGCGGCTGCTCGACACGATAATGGGCTCCGGGTTGAGGAGCAGGAGCTCGTAGATGTCTAGGCGGAGCTCGTAAGGGAGACTGAAAAAGTCTGGGCGGCGCGGGCGAGGCTCTGCGGTGATTGGCCGTAATGGCTATAAGAAGTGAGTTTGTTTAAACATTATCATTGAGAATAGTTCCAGCAAGGATCGCTTCCACGAAGAAACGGACAGGGCTATGAGCATGCAAAATGCTATGAGGCCCCAATGTGGTAGGCAATTAGGGAATAGGTGATAGGCTATGAGCGTGTAGCAGACGACCAGTCCAGTGACTGCAGGACTGAAAGTGCCGTGCTGGGTAGACCCTTGATGCAGATCATCAGCTTGAGCTGCGAGAGCTGTTGGGTCCCCACACCGAGGTGCGGAGATGGTCCAAAGGGTCCTTCTTGCTTTGCCCACCTCAATGCATCCCTCAGCTCATGTGACGTTTGGGTCAAGTGTTGGGGTGAGTAAGTAGGCATAGGTAGTGCCATTGTCTTCCATAGTGTAGAAGATGGATATCCCCAGATGGCCCACACTCGTGTCCAACGTCTTCCGGTATCCTACCCCAAGCATGGTAGAATTCAGATACGAAACTCGGTGATGGACAGAAGATCAAATGCAGACTCACAATGACGGCTTGTGTCTGTAGTTCCGGCTCTGACATTGACCAACCAGGACTGGGCGGGTAGACGATCTCGTCTGTAGCGTATTGGTGGCGGTCATGAGCACCGGGACCTTCCATTGCGGATGACGAGTATGATGCAGCAGTCTGTCTGCAGCATACCTAGCACTGACGGGATGTTAGGCGAGCTGGGGAGGGACGTCAGGCATGCAGTGGTATGCAGTAGTAAGGCGGGGCAAAAATTGAGAGAGGATGAGGTGCCGATGGACGGATGAGGTGAGAGGGAACCCGACGAGAGGTGTTGGAGAGATTGTGTAGATTAATCCGGCGCATGGCTCGGTTCGCGTTTCCAAGGGTCCTTTGTCTTTTTTTCCCTGATGGGAAGCATCTTTGTTCGATCGAGGAAGCCCCCCATGTCCCGGATGGCTACCTACCTTAGGTTAAGGTAGATAGCTCGATAGGTGCGGTAGCCGTGGGCGAGACATGCGGGAGGGGAGGTGCAAGGAGCTTGGTGCAAGGAGCTTCCTGAGTTCACCTCACGTCATTTCCTTCTCCCGGCAATCCTTTTTCCAACCTCGCAGCTTCCCAATGGCAGTCAATGCGAGTCTGGGTCTCGGGGGTAAGGAAGGAAGTCAGTAGATGCGGGGAAGCTGCAGTCATGTTATGAAACTTTCCTCTTTCCATTTAACTACCTTACCTTAAATCACTACCTAACTTACGAGATGGGTAGGAACTACGGACATGGTACGCATGCTTTCCCAGCTTCAGGCTGACAGCTTCGACAGCTTCGACAGCTTGGAGGGTGGGGAAGGAGGGGTTGGTGACCTCTGCCCACGGGCAGTTTTCCGCCTCCGAATACCTGCACTACCTGAGCGTGCTGGGTAAGGAACCTAACCCAACTTGCCTAGGTGGGATCGCCGTCATGAGGTGGTCAAAGTGTAACGTCCATTATCGGAGCAAGAAAAGGATTGAGTGATGAACCAGGATGACTGTGGCGGCTAGCAATGGTTATGCACGTAAGAACCTAGATCATCTCACGAGGGGCTCTATGGTAAGGATGTCCGAGGAAGTACATCAGACGGTTTGGTAATTGGGATCTGTGAGCATGGAAATTTGCTCAACCGACATGTGCATTTCATGCCCAGCAATGGAGGGAAATTGCTGTTGAGCTGGGCAGGAAGCTGAGAAGCAGCTCCCTTGAGAATCAGCAAGAAGCTCCGAGGCGTCCAGAAAGTGCGTCACGAAAGCTGAAGAACAATATCGAGTGGTTTGGGGGGCTTGAAGACTCCAGAAATGGACAGGGAGTCCAAAGTCTGAGAGAAGAAAGGAGCCTGCGTGCCAGTCTTGTCAATCTTTTTCTCTCACTCTCCCCATGTTTCCATTCAAGATGTCTCACTCTCAAGTAATTTTCAACAGCCCACTACTCTCCTGCCCTGATGCTCTTCTACTCTCCCTCACTGTCAACTTCAGGTAAGCTGCCTTCGGTATCAAAGGAGCTGTTGGCGGTCTTTTCTCGTCGTCTTTTCCTTCCTTGATAAACCTTGTGCCGGGCTAGCAGAAGCCGCATCAATGTCTCGTGCCTTCAGTTCCACTACCGTGCTGCAAGTTGTGGGACCCAAGGGCGAGTGACATATTTATATGGGACTTTCCTGAAGTACCTTGGACAAGGTTGAAAGAACGAGTCTCGAGCCTCGGCAAGAATGACCTGAAATATCTGAGTCGCGTGTGGCCGTTGAGTCTTCATTTCTACCTCTGGAATTCTCATCTAGTAGGGGAATGGATTGAGGAACACGACCACTATACGTTTGGGTCGAGGCCCTCAACGAAGCTGAGCATCAAAGGGATATACGCACATTGAATGAGAATTGATCGGGAAACGCAGAAGAGAAGACTTGTGTGGAGAGGAGAATTTTACGCAACCTGCAGGTAACGTAGGTAACGTAGGTACCTTAATGTATGACCAGACCGGGACACAGTCCGAAAAGGTGCACAAGCTCTGACCTTCCTTGGCAGCCGTTCGAAGTCCATTGCTTTTCAGCGCGAACCTTCAAGGTGGGTTCCAGGTTGCTTCCAAACAGGCCGGGACTAAAGGTACCTCAGCATGCAAAGACCCGCTAGAACGGCGCGATTCAATTGTCCAAGTACCTTACGAGCTTGCGCATTACCTTCACAGACGTCAGATGCTCCTTGAAGTACCTACACTACCTAAGGTACGCACGGATACATAGGTACTTTGGTTCAAAGTCGTCGAAGCTCCCACTTTCGCTTCCTTCTTTTTGTTACGTCCATCCTTCCATCTGCCAAACAGAATACACGCGTGCCTACCTTTGGCTTATTTTGCCTCGAACAGCCTATCTGGCACAGAAAAGTTCTTTCTTTTTTTTGGCCGTCATCCATCTACAGCTAAGAAAAAGCAGTTGGAAAAAGCTGATGTTATAACATCCCAGCTGTATTTGCTCAATTGCAATTTCCGTAGCTGCAACGGCCTTGCTTGTGCAGCTTCCCAACGACCCACGCCGCCCTTTCTGTCCTATCCGAGACCGCAAAGCTCTACCTGGGTCCCCAGTCGTCCTTCATCGACCTCGCTACGATACCAATAGCTCTGCATTTTCCCCTCAGATAGAGGTGGAAATACCTGAAGCGTTGGACTAAAGCTGCTGCTAGCCCGTCTTCGTTCTTACCGGTACGTCCTTATCAGGTTGTGCGACTCTAGCTTTGCTGCACAACGACCCGAAGCTCTTCATCTTCGTACAGGGCGGAAAATGACAGGCATCGCAACTAACAACGATTTCCCGCTAATGACATGATTACGAGCCACAGACCAACCGCTTGGCTGTCCAGACCCTCCACGTCCCATTTCGCGCATGCCTCTTTGCGACAGGCGTTGACATTGATTCACTCTCCTCACTCTGATAAATCAGCGCCGGTGACGTTTCCTTCCTCTCGTTTTCCCACCTTCCATTTACCTCTTCTCTCTCTCGCAACGTCGTCTCCCAGGTAAGGTAGGGCCGGATACATGGTGGAATACGAAGGAGAACCACATCATATCACCACCTCAGTCTCCTCCGCGGATACTTACTTCTCGCATAGCCAAGGTACCCTGGCCGACATCTGCAGCGAACCCACTTCTGAGCTGCCCTCCACCTCCACGCCTCCCTCTCTCTCCGCACCAGCTCGCACCTGGACTGAACCTGGACCGGGCCTCGACTTGGACGTGGACGCACGGCTCCTCATCCCCGCCACGCCCATCCGCTGTCCGTCACTTCGCAAACAACTTTTGTCGTGCCACTCAACACCTCCAACCTCCCTACAAGAACACCTGTAATATACTGTTCATGGCCACTCGCTAAAAAAACAGATACTCTGTCGTTGTATCGTTGATCCTGCTCTTTAGTTTTGTGTCTCGCAACGCCTTACACACACAATGGCGCCGCTTCGTGGAGGAGAACAGGTCTATGCGACGGTTCGTATTCCCACCCGCCATCGCAAAGCTCAGCGAGCACACAGAAAAAAAAAGTAAACAAAGAGCTAACAGCTACTTTCGTATAGCTTCTATTGAACGACACATACCTTCCAGGTTAGTTTCTGGCCCTCGATATACTTTTCAAAGCTCCGCTGACCTTTTCGCAACCAGGCGCATTGGTTCTTGCTCATTCTCTACGCGATGCTGGCACTTCGAAACAGCTGGTCGTCCTCGTCACGCTCGACACCGTATCTGCCGAAGTTATCACAGAACTCAAGGTGAGCTCGCGACAACTTTGGCGCCAATTGACCTCTCCGCACAACATACTGATGCCTCCCCGGTGTAGGCCGTCTACGATCATGTCATCCCCGTGCCGCGCATTCGCAACGCTCGACCAGCGAACTTGTACCTCATGAACCGGCCCGATCTTCATTCAGCCTTCACCAAAGTCAACCTCTGGCGACAGACTCAATTTTCCAAAATTGTCTACATCGATGCCGATGTCGTCGCCTACCGAGCTCCTGACGAACTATTCGACATTGCCGCACCCTTCTCTGCCGCACCCGATATTGGATGGCCGGATCTTTTCAATACTGGTGTAATGGTTTTGAGCCCCAGCATGGGAGACTACTATGCTCTCATGGCAATGGCGGAGAGGGGTATTTCTTTCGATGGTGCTGACCAAGGTCTCCTCAACATGCACTTCAAAAATACGTACAACCGTATCAGCTTCACCTACAATGTCACACCCTCCGCGCATTACCAGTACGTGCCTGCGTACCGACACTTCCAGTCCAGCATCAACATGGTGCATTTCATTGGCCCCGACAAGCCGTGGTTCCAAGGTCGACAAGCGAGCAAGGGAGATTCGCCATTCGAAGACATGATTGGAAGATGGTGGGCCGTTTACGACCGGCATTACAGAGTTGCCGTATGTCTCCCAATGTCGTCTTCTTTCTGGCAGAACAAGAGCTTACGTCTCTATAGGAAACAGCACCTGCTCCACCACAAGAGCAGCAGCCACAGGTTCAGGAGGAGCATACTCCTGCCCAACAACAGCAGATGCATCAGGAACCGCAGGTTCCTGAGATTGTACAGTATTTTACTAAAGGAGAATTCCAGCCGCAAGCAGCGCAAGCAGCATCAACGGGTGAGCATTATCACGGGGCGTTTCCGCCCCGTAGCCACGGTGGTATACACTACCAGACGGCGCCCCCTTCCTCGGGTCATCCGGCTCATGGTCCTTCCCACCATGATGCTCATGATGCTGGCCCTTCCCAGCCATGTGTTCATCACGAACAGCCCTACCATGGTCAAGGATCCCAGCCTGAGATCGCGTATCAGGCTGGCCATTCGTTACCCCCTTCGAGCGAGTCATTTGGTGCTTTTGCTGGAACGCAAGCTGAGGCTCGATCAGAGCAGATTTCAGCACATGAGGGGCGGGGTGAATCAGTACCCGTGGAGCAACCAAGAGAGCCAACTCCTCCGCCAGCATGGGACGCTCAAAGGTTCGTCAATGATATGGCCTACTAGTTCTTTCTCCAGTACTAACTTTGTACCAGACAACCCCCACCGGCAGATTCACGACCAGAGGCACTCAACTTCCCTTCACAGACGTATGAGATGTCTCAGGACCCAGCTCCATTTGTGCCCCCCCAACGATATCCGAGTCCCCCGAGAAACATGTGGTATGAGATTCCGAAGGACAAGCCAACGCAGAAGCCTCGTCACCTCTTCCCGTGGGAAATCAACCAACCCAAGCCGACCAGAGTCTTCACTGCGGATTTGGCCGAGCCGGAAGCCGAAGAATCTTCGAGCACGCCGACTGGTGAGCACGCGGCGTCTTTCACGGCGTCTTCCACATCCCAGGCTCCCGCTGAGCCGTCTCTTTTAGGATCATCGACGACTGGTCAAAAGAGCGAGCCCAGCACCCCAGCCACTCCAACTATCAAAGTCAGCCCGTCGGACCCTTGGACCGCCTTTACACGTACGAATGCCTGGGACGAAGTACCCGAAATCGAGCGTTATGTCGAGGGTCTCCAGAAGCATCGTCGTGGGAAGAGCCAGGGCTCAGTGGGAATCTCTGATGGAAAGACAGCAAAGGAGCATGGGCTCAAGCTCACAGACTTCCCTAGCGTAGTCGACAGACCTAGTCTTCCAGTCACTCCTGCACCTATCCGTCGGCCAAAGTTCTGGGGCGGTGGCCCAAGACCTGGCGACGGAGAGGATGACGAGGAACTGCCGGTCGCCCAGGGCGTGCCGCCGCAGACTGACTGGGTATGTGTGCATGGAATTCGGTGGACTCCCGCAGACTGTCTTTGCGAATATACTAACCTGCCCTTGCGCCCCAAGGACCCTTCTGCACAGCTTCAGGAATTGGCCAAGCAGCAGTCAGAGGCTTTGTTGAAGAAGCTCGGTGGTGGTGAAGGTGAACCCGAGGGTGTGAGTCGAGAGATCCCAAAACGTTCCTTGCCGTTCAGCTCGGAGGGCGTGTTTCCACCTACTTATGTTGCGCAGTCGTCTAAAGGAGTGGTACTCAGTCCGCAGCCGGTGAAAGGCAGCGCGACCACGAGTGTTTTGCGTAATCTGGGTGGTGAGCAGGCACAGATCCAAGAGCCGGCGTACCAAGGTCCGGGTACCGCCTGGGAGAGGGGAGAGGGTGCCCCGTTGTGGGAGACGCCTGCACTTCCTACGGAAGAGCAGCGCGATGTGCTCGACACATAATGGGTAATGAAGACTGTGGAACTCCTGTCTAATAATTACATCATACAGCAGCAATATTTCAGGCTTACAAAGGATGGATATGGTAGCATATGGCAAGGAAAGGGGGGACTTCATTGTATTATATTTGTGGAAATGCTTCCGAGGTGCCGTTCATTGCGGGTGGGGGGCCTGAGGTGATAATGTCGAGACGAAGAATGGCGAGTCGGATGAAATGAATTGGTACATATACATACATTGTCAATATCCCTACTTGTGTAGGCATCATGATTTGTTTTCTCGCCGATTCGAGGGTTGCATCTAGACCGTCCTCTACCTTCATATCAAAGCATGCCAGTTTTCAAGGGAAAAGGCTTCGCAAGATTCTGCCTACTTTCAAATATCATGTGTATAGTGGTCTCATGTCGATTCATAGTCGCCAGAGTACAAACGACATTGAACAAATGGGCAGAAAATTATCAAGTTGTTTGAAGCCAGCACACGCGTGACATGCTGGGTCATTATGCCTAACACGATGGATGGAAGACGAGTTCTCGAAGAATGCTTATCTCGCGTACTTAGTATTCGCTAGTAATCCTACAGAACATTGGTATGATTTTTACACCTCAACCAAAAAAGTCCCACCCCAAACGCCGCGTTAATGCCTGCTCCTTGGCCGTATTTATTCGTCGTCGTCACCTGCTTCCTCGACCGTGACAGCTTTGGCCTTTCCCTTGCTACTGCTACCGCCCTCCTCCTCGGCACTTCCCTCGGACACCGCGGGGGCTGTAGCGGACGTCTTCTCTGGCGAACTTCTAGGCGCATCCTCTTCGTATCTCGAGGCTTCATCGACTGACGTCTCCGAGGGTGCGTTGTTGCCCAGCCCCGACAGACCACGCCCGTTGCCGAAGAGCTGGTTCGCTCCGCCCCAGTTAGGTAGCACTGGGTTCGGGGCAAGGACCGGCGGCGGGTCGGTCTGGTTTGTGGAGACATGGTGCTCAGAGCCAATGGGGTCCTGTCTTTGCTCGTGGGTGGTAGAACGCGTTGAGAGGTCATTCGCAGCAGCGTGAGTTGAGTCGGCATCCTGGGTCACGCCAACAACTGGAGCTTGCGGGACAGGCGCCTCTGAAGGCTGGGCTGTCTCGCCCGACGCCGACAAGGGCCTCTCGGGGAAGGGTTGAGATCCGGGGGCGCCTTCTATCCGCTGAAGAGGAAGAAGTGACCATCCAGGTGGGATCACTACGCCTTCTGGGAGCTCAGAGCTGCCGGCCGGGATTGCGTTGGAGTGGTTTGCGGCTCCATGCCGTGTCACAACCGGGGTGTTCACACGCAGGGTATGATGGATGGGAACTTGCGATAACGACATTGCCGGAAGTGGCATTTGCTGTGGCTGGCCAAGATTGAACACCGGCGGGGTCAGTCCAGGGTTCTGGGGTGCGTTCTGCGCCTGTTCTGTAAGCTGTTGCAGCTGGCGAATGCGGCTCAGTTCTGCTGTAAGAAGCTGTAGCGTCTGCAATTCTTGGTGCACGCTCTGAAGGGTTGACACCTCACGCTGTATCATCTGCTCGAGCTGTTGAATCTGCTGCCGGATAGCTGGCATATTGTTACCACCTGGCGTCTGTGCAGCGGGCGTAAAAGGTCCAGCGGGACCTCCCTGAGCGAAGGGTGTAGGGATGGCCTCCTGGGGAACGCCCATTTGCTGTGCCAACTGCTGCATATTCTCGCCCTGGGCGAAACCGAGGCGGAGAGGGCCAAGCTGGAAGACTCGCGCTGCGCCGTTTCGGGGCGGTTGCTGAGCTGGCTGACCGCCGGGAGCGGCGCCCGGTGCATGGTTCGCAGGCGGTTGCTGGCCAGGGGGGATAGCAGGCGCAGCTCCGAGACCGCCGAGACCAATTCTAGCGAACATCGCGTCCCGATTCTGCGGTGCAGCGCCATTATTGTTGTTGTTCGTAATAACAACAGGGCTGCGGCAAGTAGGACAGACTTGTTGACGCTCAAGCCAACTCTTGAGGCATCCAAAGTGCAGAATGTGTCCACACGGAAGCTTCTTGGGCCGCACACGCTCAACGGCCCCGTTGCTTGGGTCCCAGGGACGCATTTCCTCTCGGCAAATGATGCATGTGTCTTCCCGCCCCAAATCTTCCTCGGTAGCATCAGGATACTTGTTCATGTCCTCGACAGCCTTGCGGTAGCGCCAGAGTGCTGAGCCTCTCTTAATGACAGATCTGGCTGTCATGAAGAGGTCACGCATGATGTGAATCGGCAAGCCGTAGAATGTGAGCAGAATACCAAAGAACACCAGGTAGATGGCCAGTTTCACACAATCTAGATATCGTCAGAGCATGGTCACGGCCGCAGAGTTTCGGGGTAACTTACCAGCAATAAGGTCAAGGATCAGGATCCACTGACCCTTTGCCTCCCATCCGGGAACCTCGATGTCCATTTCATCAATGTCCTCCTCGCGAGGCAAGTCAGGCTGATCCTCGCCCGCACCGCTTTGTTCGTGCTGTCGGATGAGTTCCTCGCGCTCCTCACGAACTTGTCTTCGTCGCTCCTCCAAGCGCAATCTTGTTTGCGTCTTGACAATGTTGTGCTCCATCACTGACACCAGGTACCGAATTCCGGTTCGTGCCGAGCAAGTTGCGAGAACGGCGAACTCGAAGAGGAACATGACCATCATGTTAGGACGTGCTTGTTGGATGACTGTAGAGACAGTGTATCGGAGGAGCCAAGTGTCGTATACCAAGCTCAAGAGAAGCGACAAGCTGAGCCGGGTGTGGAATAAACCCGGGTTCGCAGGAGGCTGTTGTTCAAGAACCTCAACGCGACCGTCGCCAATCCAGCCCCAGACCTTGCCTGTCACCAGTGCGGTAAACATGACGAGGAACCACGCGCCAATCTCCTCCCGGAATATCGTCATCGCGAGGCATGTTTCGGTAATAGCGAACCAAGCTTTCTCGGAAAGTTGCTCGACTTCAACTTGTCGCAGCGGGCCATACAGAAGTCGTTGCAGGCCGTATATCAGGGTGCCGTAGATGAGGTAAATGAAGTTGACCAGGACCTAGGAGCACTAATCAGCTTCGTTCGCAGCGGGATCACGAGGAAGGCCAGGCAACGCACCAATAAGCAGAAGTTGCTCTGCGCAAGGTAGACCATGGCCGAGTAAAAGTTGGCTCGTTGGTGGAAGGCTGATACGACGACCGAGGCCGCCAGGGCCGTGGAAACCTATGTCTCTGGGTCAGCACGTTACAGCTCCGAGATGGCCAGGCGTGTCTGGCGGAGACGGAGCTATGCGAACGGAGCTTGTTCGATAGCTCCAACAGCGTCACTTACCCCTGCGTACCACGCGAGCCTCATCTTGACTTTTGATGGGCTGTTAGCACGGGAATTGGTTATGTGGAGTGAGGGAAGCCCTCAAGTGCCCATGTTGTTGATGCAGGCCAAAGAAAGTCCGGATGCGCGGTGTTGGCGTGGTAGTACGTCTCTTTCGGAGGCCGTAGTTGATGCCACGTTAATGACAAGCATCCACTTGCTGCGGTGGATTACCTGAGCAGAGCAGTGACGCCACAGTATCCAACTGCCTTGACGCGGCAGCGCAGGAAGGTTGGAGGTGGAGCACGTGATGGTTCGTTACACAAGGTGCCTAGTTCGGAGCTACTTTAAGCCGACTCCGGCCGCGACTGAACGGCAGGCTCGCCGTTCCTTATCAAACCCACCGAGCCTCCGATAAGGATGACAGTGTTCGTCTTCCGCGATGAGTTGGATGACGCTCTCCTTACATCCGCTTGAGAACGGACAGTTTGTGCCACAGGAGACGCCAGAGTCTTCCTTCATTCTAATGCTGAGGAAGTCGAAGTGGTTTTCTGGAAAGTCATCAGTCTGTCGTGGTGAATGCGACAATGACAACTTGGCCGTGAACCTCTCTTTTCTTCCTCACCTCGTGCTTCATCAATGGCCACGATGACAGCTGGATTGATGCCCATTGCTACTCCGGCGCTTCTTACGTCGCTGAGGAACCAACCGCACGTTCCCAAGAATGCATGGTACTTCATTGCTGCCACGACTTTGACTATACTGAATCGACCAGATGAGATACCGCAAGTCTACAACCATGTCATGAAACACGGTCTCGGGCCCGATGATGTGAAGCCAGGCCCGGAGGAACAGCTTACGATCTTGAGAAAGCTACGTGAAGCACTCGTCAAGGCCTCTGCAGTCGGAGGTCTGCCCAAGGTACCGAATCGATACTATACTTCTCCACCCGGAAACAGTCACTAACATGAAGTAGACCATCAATTCTCTCATGGAGTTGAAGAAAGTGACACCGGAGCACCTACTGGATGAGCCGCAAGGCGCGAATGATACACTTTCCTCATCACCAACTGCACGGCATGTGGACATACACCACACGCCCTCTTCCAAGATCTTGCAGCGCGGGCAGGGCTTCTGGGATAACATCTACGGCAAGATATCGAGACGTGTAATGAGTCAGATGGACCGCTCGGGCACAGAAGACCTCGGTTTGACCGCCCGGCTCATGTATGGATACATCCTTAGCAATACCAACGTTCTATCTCCAGTGGAGACGTCGTACGTTCTCATTGCTGGGCTGATACCGCAGGATGTGAACCCTCAGCTAAAGGGTCATCTTAAAGGCGCCCTCAACGGCGGCGCATCTGCCGAGGAGGTGAGGGCTGTGAGAGGTATTGTCATGGACATATGCAAAGCTTCAGGCATGAGTCAACTCGGTGAGGGTGTACCTGGTGGATGGGGCTGGCGCAGTGAGGTTGCAACTGTATGATGGCTATGTATACGATAGGGCGAGATAGATGGGGCGACGCAATAGCATTGAAGACTATCTCAATCTGGAGACTTTGGAGTGGCTCAGTCACATCAAGTGATAGTGTTTGATAGCAAGAAAGCCCTCACGAGGCTTCTCAGCACCGAGGAAAGCCTCGTGGTAGGCAGAATGATATGCTTTCTGCAACACATCACACATCACGATACTGGGGATGAGGCTCGGCGGGCAGTCAAGAGGTTCCGCCGCGGTCACAATTCCGCAATAGACGAGGCCGGAAGCAATACGGATACACTTAGCGACGAGAGCATGGCGAAGATTGACTGGCCCACAAACGCTGGCACCCCAGTGTCCGAGTTGAGTTGTGATATTTGTGTCCCCGTGATATGATAGACCGTGGTACGAACGGAGCCAGCTGCCGCGCTGCAGGGCATGGGGGTTAGTCGTGGACGGTGGCCCTGCCCGCATTGCATACATACATCATCTATACACACTCACATACGGCCGTAGGCAAGCTTCTTGAATACGGACTAGGGGGGGGGGGTTCATGGATATTGCAACCCGTTGTATAGAGCCTTGTCCCTCCCCAAGCGTACCAGCTGTCAGCATGGGGAAGAGATACCTGGCTGCTACGGTCTGCCTATGCCGTGCAACCCTCCCCCATCTCCAAAGATTGACGCTGGGTTTCCGGGCCACACGATGGGTTCGCGCCGTGAAGATCAGTACATCGCGTACAGCAGCATACTCTGTAGGGAAGGTCGTAGCTCGACCGGGATGGTGGGCTGCCAAGCTAACTCTTACCCATGAACACCAACCACACGCACATTCGTACACACACCCATGAGAGGAGTTGAGGGCATCACCAGCAGCTCCGACGCCGAAGTCCGAGGAGTGCGATTGATACACACACCAAAATTTTCGCCCCAAGCCGGATACGGCCACTGGATGCAACAGCACATCATCCCAGGCATTTTCCCTCTTGAGAAATGGCACCCCTAGAGCCCCTGCATTTCTGTCTGTCCGTGGCTTCTGCTTGGCTACCACTCGGGTGGAGAGTTGCGAGGAAGGCAGGGCTACTCAGGCAAGCCAAAAGCGACGGGGGGGATCCTGATTCTCTTGAGTCTGCATTTGCGGCTTGCCAGGCACCGTGGCACTGGCACCCCCAAGCGGTTAAGGGAAGAAGAAACAATGACAGAATTGGCGTGTCGATCTTTCCAGTCTTTTCCCTGCCAGGGAGCACCCCTCCGAGCGAGGTTCAAGGATGTAGCCGTACGAATACCGACTTACCGACCTCTCTTTCTCTAGGGATTTCCCATTTTCCCTGCTGTCACGCCTCTGTCTGTCATTTCAACCACACCTTTGAGCCTTGACGACACAGGGGGCAGCGATTCGCTCAGGAAAAATATGTGCAAGAGTGGTCGGCGACCATCTTCCACCTCATCTTGCAGCGACTAATCTCGGATGGCTTTTCGTCCGGGAACATGAACATCATCCCCATGCCTGCTCCCCTGTCACCCATGCCCTTGTCTGTCTTGGACTCCGACTCCGATTCCGATCTCTAGCTACCAAGTCTCTCAACGACATCAAGTCATCTGTAGCGCCGGATTTAATCCATCTTGATCGCTCAAGGGAGCCGCGAAATGATGCTCATCGCAGGCGAAATATGACAACGTCAAAATCCTTGGTCGCTCCGGTTCGCCGCCTGCTGCTTGCTGGTAGTCTACCCGCCACCTACTCATCCATGATGCTGTTCTTCGGCAGTGGAGCGCGAAGGATTGAGACTATCGATTTGGTCTGGTCACAACCATCCAGGACTCCAGATTCCCTCATCTACCGGCCATGTCAAACCGTCACACTTCCAACCCAAGTTCCCACCTCTCACGTGCCTCTCCGCTTCCGCCTCCGACTCCGACTCCTGCATAATCGCCCGTACCAGCCTCGGCCTGCCTCGCCTCGCCGTCGGTGTAGTCTTTGCAGAACATCCCACGCCGTGCCTCTCATCCCCGCAGCAGCGAGGGTATCGTGAGCGAAGGAGGGCCCGGGGGAAGGACAGACTCGTCTAGATTCACTGATTCAATGACCACGCCGGCCTTCCTCTCCCAGAGCTAACAAGCTAGGCCCGAATACTCTACGCGAAGCCGGCCATCGTGTGCTCCAAGCTTCTTTCCCGCACTCGCCTACAAAGGCGACCCCTGCGCAATCATCAACACGTGGTTTTGGACGAGCCTAGGGCCTTTGAGGCAACTTTGATCCGTCTGGTGTGGCATTTCGTCGTCTAGCCTCGCGGCCACGGCAGCAGACTCCCTTCGGAGAGGGAAGAAATACCCTGACCCGCCCGCAAGTTGCAACCCATCGCATCGTCGGGAGGCGGGCGTGGCGCCGGTCAGAACCCGCTGCTTCGGGTCCTACACACTTCTGGTTGTGAGACCCGTTTGCGAATTTTGCGTTGTTTTGGTTTCCAACGCCCGTTCATTGCCTCTCATCACTGCGGCTTCTTTGTTTTTGATTTCTGCGCAGAGGGGCGGGCAGAATAAACCCAGTCCCGACCCCCAAGGTTCCAACTCAATCTCTCTTGGCGTTTTGCCTCAAGTGTCTAGAATCTAGATGCTGTTTAGCCACGATGCGTTCCTTTTCCTTATCTAAACTCTACTGGTCCATCTAGCCCACAGACTAGCCTAGCACAGGCACAGATGGCAAAGAGAAAGCAAGGGGACGGGGAGGCAGAACATGAACCTCGACGTTTTCCCTATTGTCTCTTGTGCTGTCCCGACCTCCTCTCGGGCGTGTGTGCGTCCAAGGACTAGTCAAAGCCCGCGTTTCCCCTCGGGTCTAGACCTATTTTCCTCTACCCCTTTCAACGGTATCGTACCTAAGCCCATTGTTTGAGTCGAAAGTAAGAGGGAGAGAGCGACTCGCGTTGGTGGCTACCCTTACGCTGGCTTAGTGGCCTTTTTCCCCCTTAGGAGAAGCCGGCGTGACGCCTCTTTTTGCTGGGATGCATGTATTAGTCCCAAGGGTCTGGGTGCTTCGGACCCAAGACTGCGGTAATGGCAGATGGATACCATCACGGGTAGCTTTGCCTTATTTCGCCTTCACTCAAAACGATGGGGGTGGACAAAATCTTCCGGCACTGTTGCTGTTTGTGGTCACTTTTCATCTCGCACGTACGATCTAGTCCCCGAAGTTACACGCGGCGAGCAAGGACGGCAGTCTCATCTCAAGCCAGGGTCCATCCGTGCCCTCGGTCGACGGTCGAGTAATTGGCCTCTTCTCCAGAAGTACCGAGATTTACTGGATGTTTTCTTGGGACTCTTCCACCGTTGCTATGCATCAAAGAGAAGAGGGGGTGCGATATGGAGACGACGCCACGAGGTCTGGACGAGGAACCAAACCTCACAAAGAAGCAAAGTCCGACGACGCCGGTATCTCAAAGGCGTTTTGTTGAACACTAGTAAAAACCCTCGTTTGTTACCCTGTCACAAGCCATTGTAACTTTGCCCATACTGCAAGTAGAGGTCCCCGATGTTACCACCCAGGCGCCCACCTGCCTGTCTAGCCCATCACCATTCACCAAACCGCTATCCTATTCTGCAACGCTTAGTTTGTATGGCGCCAAAAACAAACCAGCCAAGTGGCCGGCCACTCTTTCTTTGGTTAAGGACCCTGGAAAAGTTGGGCGATGTAGAGCGCTCGAGCGAGTGAGACAACTGCAAGGCAGAGACCACGCGCCACGTCGAATGGAGAAAGCTGGCCGGTCAAAGACCTCAACTTCCAGGCCCTCGTGGCAAGGCCTTGGTGATCCAGAATACTTTTCGCCTGGTGCGGGTTTATTACAAGGTCGAAAGGCAGGCCTGCCTTTGTTTTGGCATGTAGACAGTGTTGTATCAGACAACTATACCGCTCCCCCCTCACGCTTGAGCACCAAGATAAGCCCTCCTTCGTGTGACGGTGTTGTCAAGCGTGAAGATTCCTTCAGACACCACCAAAAAAAGAAACAGCATACCTTCAAGCCTGTCTTATATCTCAATAGTCTCGTGCTATTTTATGCTAGTCTTCGGACTCTTCTTCATGGCTGAGACGGGAGGAACAGCAATACCTACCCATGCAAATGCGCAACTCCGGGCTGGACCAATTGTGGCACCCGGAGAGAAAAGAAGATGGTTGTCTCTAAAGACTTAGACTCGTCGTCCACCTTTCCTCCCCGGCCCGTTGGAGGAGAGCCAAGGCACGGCAGGATCTGGTGTGTGTGTGTGTGCCTTTTGGTGTCGTCGATGGTGGTTTACTTTTGTTAGTGATTTCTTGCCTAGTCAAGCTAGGATGATTGGGCTGCGTTGGTTCCTATCAGCAAGGGTATTCCTCTCGCGGGAAGCGCCTCTCGAACCAAGTTGTTGGGAAACTTCAATCGTTGAGTGTGAGACTCAACGTACAGCAGCAATATCACCAAGAAAGGCCTTTTCGTGTGTACGCGCTTCCGTGATCAGGGGAGACCGGTAGGTGTGGATTACATTTGGCTATTGTGTAACAGTAGTCTCTATACACAGACAAAAACAAGAGAACCATAGTCCCACGATATCACCAAGGTCACCAAGAGGTCCCAGCCACCGGCCTGCAGCGCCTCCATCTTACTCTTGCAGACGCTACGGGGATATTGTTTTCTTCCTCAAGTGCGAAAACCGGAGAGAGAAAGAGAGACACACACACAGAGAGAGAAAATATCCCCGAAATAAGGGTCCGGGCGGGTTGATCCATCACCAACACCCGCTGCCGGCAGACAGTAGACGCAGTATCACGGCGTCTGGGCTGGGCTGGGCTGGGACTGGGCTTGCTTCCCGCCTCACACACACACACACACACATCTCTTTTTCGTGGCACGGGGACGGCGTCTGGACGGTCTGGGAAAGGAGGGAGAGAGTGTGTGATGTGGTCTTCCGACGCACCCCTCTCATCCTACTATCGGCGAATAACGCGTACACGCAAATGCATGACTACCTATGCACACCCATCTCTATTAAATCCAGGGGACGAACGATAGCAGGCACGGTATCATAGAGGAGTAGGTAATGGAGGGAGGGGTTATCCACGCTTGAGAACTTCAGCGCCTCTATGTGAGAGAGTATTGGACGAAAGCCAGGTACAGCTCATCAATGACAAGAACCACGCAACCATGGTCGTCAACGACTGGGCTGCCTCCCGAAAACTTTGCCTTGCCAAAGGGGAAAAAAAAGAAAAAACAAGACTCGCATCACGACTACTTGGTGGTTGTTGGAAAAGCTTCAGCATTCTGCAGCCCCCAGCTCATCATGAAGCATGGAACCCCCGGCCCGCGGCCAAGACCGATCAAGATTCTTCTGGCTCCAGCCAGACAAGCCTCTATGTAGTCGCGGTAGTGTAATACGGATGCCACTGGAGAATCAAACCTTCTTTCTTGTCTCCGATGTAACGGTGGGAAAAAAAAAACCCAGAGTGCCTGAGCACGACTTCGCATTCAAGCGGCGGTCTGGGAAAAGGAGAAGACGAAGAAAAAAGAAAAAAGAACAGCCCTGGAAAGAGAACAGCCCTGGGGTTCCTGGGATTGGCGCAGGATCTACACTGCAGGGAGGCCCGGAGAGAGAAAGAAGAGCGAATGCGCGAGAGTCCAAGAGGAGGAAACTTGGAAAAATAGAGTAAGGATACCGAATAGAGAGAAAGGTGAGGCTTGTGTCATTGCGTAATTCCGCTGTCCTGGCAGATCGTGACATCGTTTCGTTCCCGCCGAGAGACCTATGTAGTTGCCTACGGATGACCTACGGAGTTACCAGGTATCGTTTGCCTATCCCTTCTGCATTTTCTCATTGAGATCATGGCATGCATGGATGATGGAAGCGCTGGATCTCGTGGATCACTCTCTGCCATCTGTCTCCCGGACCCCTCTCCTCCCCTTCCCCTTCCCCTCGCAGGCACGCAGACTGGGAGACAGAGACCGGGGTTTCGCACATCATGTTTGATATGTCGATCATTATTCACCTCCCAGAGAAGTTCCACGGGTGACGGCTCACCTTTGACGTAGCATCGGATCTACAAGACAGGTAGCCATAATTCCTCATCAGTGGGCAGGGCCCAGGGGCAACTTGCCGCAGGCCGCCGACCGTACGTACGGACGTGACGGAGTACGAAGTAGACGAGGGGATGGGGATGGGGGAGAGAATTCTGTATCCGTACTGCGAAAAATTCGGTATTATACTTCCAGGGCCCAGGGGTGAAGAAAAAAAAGTGACTGATGAGCCCATGGTCCTGTCTGTCGCCCCCCAGTCCTCAGCTCTCCACACGTCGATACGCCAAACCTATTTTGGAAAGCCTGCATACTGGTAATAGGGCAATCTCCCGCTGGCCAACCTATCACGATGAGCAAAAAAAGAGAGCAGACGGGAGTCGGGAGTCGGAAAGGATTGTTTTTGCAAACGGGGGTAGCGCCGATTGGTAAGAGATGCGATTTTCTTCCCCTTTGCTTTCTTTCCATATCTCTCCTCCCTTACCTGATACTGCCGGTTCTCCGAGATAGTGGTCCGAAAGAGGAGGAGCAGACGACTGAATGCAGTTCCCTTTGCGCGATTGTGATCCCCTCCCCACTCGTCCTGAGTGATGGGACGATAACGAACGTCTGATGTTCAGTAAGTACTTGTTCGAACGAATTTGCGGGGGTGCTTGCGAGCGTGGACGTTTGGGCCGTATGTGTCCCAATTACACGCTTTCTCACAACGGGTGAGACCTGATGGAGGGGCCAATTGCAAGTAGCCCGTAATTGTCTTCAACGACACTCCATCATCTTTTTGGTCCCCCGTATGTCAGGGCACAAACACGTCAGGTAGCCATTTGACGCCCATTCGATGGTCCAGGCCAGGCCCTCTCCCCCCTGTGTTTCTCCCCCAAGAATTTGAGATCATAGAAGCAGTGGGCACCGATCTTGTTTCGTTTCTTTTTCCTTCACGGAGACTGGAGTATCCGTACTGTATCTGCATGCCCGCGCGCCCACTTTCGTCAAACAATGCATGCCCAATGCCCATAAACCCGGCGCGAACATAGGTACTGCGGAATAATAAAGATGGGCGAGACTTTGCAATGGCCAAGGCACGCTTGGCAGGGAACCGGGGGCATTCTGCCGAAAGTTTGGAACGTGGTTGAAGCCTGTACGACAGTGCCGTAGGTACGTCTATCTGGTAGTGTAGTCGTAGTAGGGCCGAGGAAAGGATGAAAAAAAAAAGGGATCCGCTCTCCATGTGAACGAAGCCTAATAGGTTCAGTGTGATCCAGACGAAGCTGGATTTGGTATACGACTATTAGCGGGAGGGTTCCTTACTGCGTAGATGCCGCACCTCGTACTGGTGTGTGAAGGGTCAAGGGACTGACTACCTTACCTTGGTTTTCAGAACTCTGGGCGTGCAAGGCATAGGCATGCATAGCCTGTCTGGGTCTCGTTAGCGAGCGGCTTCGAGTGCCATCGCGCCTAGGGGTATCCAGATCCATTGTAGAGGACAACCTGGCTTGCCTGGATCACCACTGTCCACTGTTGTAGTGTAGTGTTGTACTGTGATGTGAGTCGGTCGAGGTGCAATGTATGTGGTGCAGTAGGCGAGGCTTTCTCTTGGAGAGCATGAAGCGGCGGGGGAATGGGTGCCTTGCGGTCCCCGCTCTTTCTTGTGCGTAGTGTACTGTGTAAGGCATCTGTAGACGGTAAAGGAGACGCTTGTGCTGCGTGTGTTCGGAGTTTATCTCGTTTGGGGTTAAAGATAGAAACCTTGATTTGACGCGTGGTGGGGACGTTTCTCTCATTCTTTCTCGCTGCCTCGACTAAGTCAGTACGTACCGAGTCATCAAAGTCTTGTTCCGTCTCCACTTACCCACCAGGGAGTACGTACCGCTGTCTCTCACGTGTCCCGCACCGCTTCTATGTCTTTCCAACCCCCCCCCCCCCCGGGCCCTCTCTCTCTCCCCGCCCCGACCACAGTCCACAACTTGCACTCTCACAAGCTCCACTCCTTTCATTTCTGTGTCCTTTCTCCTCTTGCTCTTAGGTTGTTAGTGACACTAAGCAAGTGGACACTGGATTGTTGACTTGTCATGGACGGGGATATGGGCAGACGTGCCATGCCGCTCTCACCAAAGACTGCCAATTGCTCCTCTCCATCTCTCTCTGCAAGCGCCATGAAACATCAGGGACATGATCGGTCTGAGAACGGCTTGGGTCCCGAGCTAGGTGTCGACGGCTTGGTGTCACGACAGTTCTTCGTAGTGTTGCCAGACACATTCGTAACAGGATCTCCTAGCTTTCTTCTCAGATCCATGGCTTTGGGCCCTCTGGCGAAGCTTTGAGGCGAAAGCCTCCGTCTGTGGTCTTGTCCTGGCCCCCAAATGGAAGAAACACGGCCAACTCGCAGCGAATTGGTGGTGGCGAACTCATCGTGCTTCAAAGGAATGCCTAGGCACTGTTGTTTGTAGACTGTCAATGACCGACTCTCACACCCCAGAGTCGAACCGTCGTCCCAGGAGTCTGGTCCATCACGCTACATGCTATGCCGACCCAGTGCTCGTCTACTTTGGCAGGCCTGGCAAGCCGCAAGCCTGGGGCAGATGCCGCCAGTCCGCCACAAGCCATTGCGGCACGGGCAAAACCGTTAATCTTGCAATACACTAGCACCACCCAAGACCATCACGCCGTATTGCGCCGTCGTCGCCCTAGGCCAGTAGAGGCCCAGACTAGACTTGGCCGACGTCGCAACCTGCCCAGGCGTCGTGATGGTCTGTGTAACAGTCTTGAGCCCTTGGGGGCAGAAGACAAGGTCCACGGGTCGGTGCTTGGCTCGAGTCTTCAAATCGCTAGCATCCTCCCGACCCGCCGTGCCCGCTTCCCTTCCCACACTTCCCCGACGCACCAAGACAGCCCGCCCCATGCCGTTTCGGGCCTGGGCTCCCTTGTCATTCTCGTTTACCATTACTGTTTTCGTCGCAAGCGTCCTCAGCATCGATTCGGTAAGGCAAAACCCTGCAAAATGAGATCTGCGGAATCCAGAGAAACGGGTCCTGCAAATACACGGCTCGATTTGCTGCCCAAAGCCCTGGTGTTCATCTTCCCCCCTCTTGTCTGGCACGTCTGGGTGCGTGCAGCGTGTGTGGGAAAGAAAACATGGTGAAAATGATCCCCAGGGCAGGCAACTTGGGCCCCTGGCTAGCGTCTTTTCTCCTGTACAAAGCCTGCATCTCGTCTATTCGACACAGAAAAGCAACCACGGTCGAAATGCTGCTGCCTTGAGAGACATCAAGGCCGGCTCTGGGCCCTGGCAGCTCGTGACCCCGCCCGCGTTTATGACATCCGCATGACCCGTGTGGATCATGACGGCGACAGACTGAAAGTCGAGACGAGGAGTCGAGAATCGAGACATGCCTGCAATCGTCTTGTCTTCAGTCATGAGGTGCCGCGACGGCAGTTAATAGTTCGTATACGGATGGACAGGCATGAGGGTTGCGTTCAACCCTGCGGTAGGTATCAGTATGAAGTATGGAGTACGGAATTACTTTTATTGATTTTGTCGGGGAACGAGACACGCAACCTTTCTTTGCCTGCCAATGCTTCTGCTCGAAGAATGCGAACCCGCCAATCCGAGTCGACATCCCATCGGATGCGAGCCATTGGCCGCCGCCGGCCAGGTATGCAGTGTTGCCCCGGGCCGTGGACAATGTCGGAGCTTCTGACTTATGCGTAACGACTCGACACGACGACGACAACGACGACTCAATAGGAACGCCTCAGTTCCTAGAGAAGGTCGGGTTTAGCAAGTGAAAGATGCGTATTTGAAACGTTGGCATGGATATTTGAAATGGCAACCAAACGACCGAATCTCTGCGTGCCCAAGTCTCAGCCATCCGATGAGGCAGTCGCCAGTCTAGCCTCCGTCGTCGACATTCGAGAACCACACAAGCCTCAACGGTTGTCGGTGGCATCGTGGATCGTGGAGTCCCCACCCTGCGACCCTGGGAGAGCACTGTTGGACTAGGTACCTTAGTGTATGGTGACTGAGGATTGACTGAGCAGTGAACACTGAACAGGCCTTGAGGCTTGAGGATGAGGAATGTGACTCCGTAGGACACGGAATGACGGTGGATGGGTCTCTCATTCGGTATTGAGGAAACGGAACTGTACTGGCGCCTTCTGATTTGCTCATCTGAGTCGATAGTGGAAATAATTAGTACGTACCCGAGATGTTTCCTTGGGTGAGGTCTCTGAGAGACTTCTGATTGGTCTTTGAGATATTGTCTCCACCAGCTGCTACGCAGTATATTGTTCGGCGACGCCGATCCCAAGAACCTTAATCATCGATCGTCGCTTCATTGACCAATGAGGGATGTCCGTTACAAGGTCCAATCAAAAACGCTATTCTCTTCCCGCGTTCCGCCGTCACCGCCAGGTGATTGACGCTGCAATGGAAATCACGACAGAAAGTCCACCGTGGTGCCGCCCCGCAGAATGCGAGATGCAACCCGGAACCATTGAAGAATGCTGGTAACAATGACGATGCTTCGGAGAAGGTCTTGGAGTCTTGGAGGAAGGCCATGGAGCACTTCTTCCGTCTGCGTGGACTTGGTATCCCGAGTATGTGCAAGTTCCTACGCTCAACCGACGTTAGGGGTCTTGTGTCTTTTGGCATAAGACAACCTACCTTAGGTACATTGGGCGGGGGAACGGGTTCGGTTTGATAATCGAACGATTGGGGGTTTGGACCGTCCTGACTTCCGGGTATCAACCTGATTGAACCCGCATTCCCGTCATATTTGGTCTCGACTCCCATGGGCCATGGGTGTTCAGGCAATTTCCAACTACTGCATCCACGGTAGAGAGACTCTTGTAATTGCGTACGCAGTACTGCGTGTGTTGCATGGTAAAGTAAAGCCCGTACGGACGGAGTAAGGTAGCATTATGGAAATCACCAGTCAGATCTCCAATGTGAATCCGTACGGATACAGCTCATGGTCAAGTTGTCCGTACCTGCCGTATGGCTGCGGCCTGCCAGCCAGTGGAGGAAAGTCGAGGGTGATGCCATCGCACAGCTTGCCGAATTAGGAAATGCGCTGGTCCGTGCAAGGCACCCCTCCCTTTCGAGATCTCCACCGTGGTACTGATGACCCTTGCGCTGTTCGTCCCTGCACCTGCCTGCCTGTCGTTCCGTCCGTCTCGTCCCAAGCATTCGGATGATGGGTGTCGGTGTCTCGAGCATCTGCATCCTGTGGCCCTACCCTGTGCTTCCGTTTGTGCCTCACCTCCGCATCTTGGCTAGCCAGCCAGTGATTCGAGCAAACCACTGCAACAGCATGGAAAATGATGCAGGATCGCCCCGTGTCCACATCTGACGCTCGCGACACTTGTCTCTACTCTCTTCCACAGACTACGCAGTGGCAGTACAGTCCACCACCACCCCCCGGTGCCCCGGCAGGAAATGTGGTTTCGTGGAGAAGCCAATCGCAACGAGAGCAGGAGCTAATTACGGATACTCCTCTCCTCTGCGTTGAGTGGTTGAGAAACTTGAGTCCATGTCTGGATATTCGTGTGCGTTCAAACACCTAGGTATGACAATATTTGAGGCGAGGAAAGAAAGACACGCGGCAGATGCCGGTACCTTGCCGCGATGTTCACGAATGGAAGGTAGGTTACGTTCCGTAAGGTGCCTAGTTCCTTCCATTACCTCAGCAATTGCACAACGGAAGGCTGTGACTGGAGGGAGTACCTACCGTACCTTGGGAACGACGCCGACAGCGCCTTCCCCTGATCTCACCCTCCCTGCAACTGCAACCCGACCGTAACTGCAACTGTGACTGCGACTGCCTGCTGTACTTGAGAGTTTGCCAGCCCGGCGGTGGCTGGCAGACTCAGCCCTATGGATGCTCCCACCTCACACCTCCCAGTCCATCCCGATACCCAGTGTCTTACGGCTTGCCAGTCTCCCAGATTCCCTAGTGTCATCAGCCACACATGCGCATTCATCAATACTACATTGTAGCCTGCTCCTCGGGGGGCCACCACAACAGAATCAGAAAAACGAAGCATCCCAGGAGTCGCACTGGCGCTGGCGTCCACGGCAAGGGACCCGGCGGGTCGGATACACAAAAGCATCCATCGTTAGGCTTCAACGCCGACATGGGCATGGCACTGCGAGGGCATCTCCATGGCCATGATCTATCATCCATGAACTAAATCCGACTGCCGATGCAACATTCTGGGGCCGGCCAGAAACATACGACAAAAGATGCGATACCACGCCGCCCTTGACGCCAATCCCCAATGTACTCTGCCCTTTCGTGGCTCGCCCTCGTCTACCTTTGCCAGAAGAAGAATGAGACTTCATTTTACAATCCACTGTTCGTGAATGGCCTCGAACCCCCCGCCAACATGATCGATTTCCGGCACCATGTACCTTGTCCCAGACAAGCATTTTCCTGGCTCGTCTGAATCGCCATCTGCGCCTACCAAACTTCGCATCGCATGCAGCCCAATCTCTTGGGTCAGTGGACCATCGTCGTCGTTCTGTGTGGGATCGCTCACCTTACGGACTGGTCTAGACCCTAGAGTTTATCGCCGGCCATTGCCAAAGTCGTATTCATTCGATCCCACCGACGGTCGCTTTGCTTCAAAGTACCATACCATGGCAGCTGCCATTGCATTGTACGTCTGATCAAAGTCACTATGATCGTCTCATCCCTTCAGCCCATTCCACCCTGCAGCATTTCTCGCACCCTCGCCAAGCTTGCCGTCTTGCCTTGCCTTGCACGTCGTCGGTCAGTCATGAGATCACTTATGAACCTGATTTTCAATAGAATACGACCCCCCGCATAGCCATGGTTATGCAGCGACTAGGCGGCACAGTCGGATGTGGCCAATGCCATTGCAGACGAGGCCACGATTGCGCACACTTACATCCACAAATCTCACCCACTGATTTCGACGTCTCTCTCTGGTTGCCGCAATCGTCGCTTTTCCGACCCATCCTTCACGTCTGCCCATCCCTCGGTGCCCCACGCCTATGCCTCTCATTTGCCCTTTCCTCACCCCTTGGTCCTGGCTTACCCGGTCAGCACGATCCAAGGGACGGTCCTCGTTGTCTTCGCACGTACTCCATATCATCAACGACCAGTTAAGCAAGAGACCCCTATTTACTACAGAGTCGGATTCTACCTTGGACACGACCAATGATATGACTGGGCCGCAGCAGCATGGGAGGCCGCAATCATCCAACATTGAACCAGTGCAACGGACGCTAAAGTGTCCAGCGAGGGGATGCCTCGAGTCGGTTGAACCAATGAAAGAACCAAGTGGGTGCCCGGCGCCGTCGCCCTCTAACGTGCCATCTCCCTGCGTTCGACTGCAAATTTCAGCGTGTACGGAAGGATTTTGCGACAAACTTTCCACACGATGAATGCATAACAACCCCCTGACTACGGGCAGGAGGAGCGTAAAAGGAGACTTTACGAGTCGTAGAGATCATTAGGACATCCGACGAACCCCTTCTCATGGATGTTTTTTCTTCGTTTTTGGGCGTGCTATTGATTCGGTAAGGCTGACCGTCGTCGACTTCTCTGGGCGCAGACTCGCTTTGCTTGAAAGGACGCATGGCGGCGTCGAAAGAACCCGACGCGCGGGTTACAGGAAAGGATTGGGCGGGACAGGAGCGGCTTGCGTGCTGCATGTCTCTTTACCCAACGCCGGCTGGCTGGTTATACCTCAAAATGGCGGGATCGCTCCCGTCCCCTGGCTCCACACGAAGACCCTTGAGCTTCAGCAAGCCACCAAACGAAAGCATGCAATGTGTGTGCTCGTAGAACAAGGGGCTTGGGGGCTTCTCTGCCCCGTGCTAACAACCACCTTGGTCGAGTCTCACTTACGGACTGCTTCATTCGAAGCAATGGCACGCACGCGGGTCCAAAGACGAGATGACGCTTGCAACCCGCATCAGCACAGGTGTGCCAAGGAGAAGAAGAGCATGGCAGGTTCCGTTTGGCTGGTTCTTAGAGCATTGCAAGTCCCGGCCGGCATACAGCCCATCTGACCAAACGTCTTTCGGAATCAGAGACACCAGGCTAACACCACAAGCTCCGGGGAGAGTCTTTGAGTCTCGGCGACCACCACCTCCAAGTCGACACGACATCCCTACTTGCGTTACTCGGAACGAACCTACGCATCCTCGGTGACCAAGAGAGCCGACCGTCAAAGTCAATATTCCGAGGACACATTGATCAACCGTTAGCGTTGTACGGGTCGCAAGGAGCACACATGGCGTTGCTATAAACACGAGATGACGGAAGGAATACGCCGTGCAAAGGATGCCACCTACAGATATTCGTACATGCATCATCCTCTGTCCCGCGGGTCAGGCAATATTAGATGCCAATTATCGACATGCTTCCACGTTTGATGACTGCAGGGTTTCTGATGGACAACAAATCCGGGTCGGTAAGGCGCATCCATGTTCCCAGGAAAACGGGATGGAGTCAAGCCGGCGAGTGCAAGGTACCACTACGTGCCACGAGCATGAAACATTGGTGGATGCTCAAGTCACTGAACACTGCCCTCACCCGTCATGGCATCTGGGTGGCAGCCCTTGGCAAGGTTGGGGTTCATTGGGGCTGGTGAACGACGGCAAGGTTGCACCGCCTCCTGGATTTCTTTTTAAAGATTTTGACTATCTCCACGGCAAGGATATCGGGAGCCGTAAAAGCACCAATCACAGGCTTCCAAACAGGGTCTCGGGCAGATGAGCCACCGCTACACCTAATCGGGCGACATGTCTCGATGGACGATGTTATCCCACGTTGGCTTTCTACGGTTTTTTCGCAGTGCGGAGACAACTCGAGTTCCCCATGGCTTCCATGGGTGCCTCGTGTGAGCCGCCCCGGCTGGCGACCCATGATGCGGAATGCTTTGGTCAGGACGGAGTAGCGCATCGAATCTCGCCAAGCGAAACCACCCTATGCGTGTACGTCTGAATGCGACTGGTATTGCGAACTATGATTTGGCCAATGTTACTCTCCAGGGCATTAGCGACAACTCAAGAAGCAACATCGTCGAGACTCGGCGACCTCTACGAGAGTGGGAGAGCGTGAGATTGCCCTTGCTCAGCCCGTGCGGCAACGGCCGTAATCCCACGCAGACTAGTGAATTACTTCAATTTCCATCACAGTCCTGCGCGCTAGCAAGAAGGCATTGTTTGGTACGCCGGCGGACGATGATGTTCCAATGGTCCGGCTTCACGTCTCGAATTCACCAACCCGATGCGACGCACATAGTTATCCAGGCGTTCGACGTGTCATACTCTGTGCAGCGGCTTGGGACCGCCGTGGCAGGTCGTCGCGAGGCAACGCCAAAGCAACAAACCGAGAAAGGCTACCTAGGAGCACTGGCTTGTCTGCCACAATGGGAACGAGGCGTTGAATGGCAACAACGTGAATCTTCCAGAGGTCGGCACTAGTCTTTTGTCTCATCGTGGCCCGGTGCTTGGTGGCATGAGGACTGAGGACGAAAAGAAGCATCTAACCACCAGAACTTTGGTCTCCACCTGCCGCACATACATTTCCCAAGGGGCCGGTTGCACCAACATCAAGTCTCGGGCTGGGCCATCTCGAATTCTGGCCATCGACTGGATGAAATACGCCTCTAGAGAGCGGTGCCGCGACGTGGTGCGTCTAGCGTGCGATGACTATGACCGAACGGCTCTGGAACCCTTCCAACGTCTGAACCCTTGGACCAGCCAACAAACCCGCCAGCCCGGATTGGCATGGCATCACAGACAAGAGACTCAGTCACGCCGCTTGGGTCGTGGAACTCTATTTGGGCCGTCCCGATTTTTCGAAACTCGATGCTTTTGCCGCGTGTCGTGGCCGGTGGCCGGAAGGCTGTTCTCAACGAAGAATTTGAACCACCAGCCCACCCGATTGTCTCTGCCAGTCGAACATGTACGATGCAAGCTGTCCCGCACACTGGAACTCGGAGGCTTGACAAGATTGAGCTGCCTGGATACCGTTTTGGGACACGATGCCGCGAACAAGATGCTGACACGCATCGTTATCTCAAGGAAGGGCGGGAGGAACAGCAACATTAGTGGCCGTCGCAAAGACGTGGATCGGTACAGATTCTCTCTCCGGCCCGTACATGATCCCATTACCTTTGAGGAGGCACAGGCGCCGTCGTATGGTTCGAGGTCGCTATATCCAGTCAACAGTGCTACCCACACTCCAGGCACCGCCTGGAACAGCGCGATATGGGGTGACTGCAGGACATCATCCAATGTAATGTACAACCTCTAAAGGCTTCGACTAACAACTTAGAGGGACGGATAAGGCCGGGCTGTGCACACCAACAAGTCGAAGGCGGGCCCGGCTTGCACACCAAAGTGCTGCCACGGGCTGCAAGCGTGGAGAGAGGCGCGACGCCGTTCATTGGGCCAACTCCCACACTCATGTACAAAATCGCAATGAGAGAGATCCCTGGGCTTGGGATGAAGGAGGCTTGTTCAGCACAGCACGAGCACCCGCAGTGTGCAGTGAGTAAAAATATCCCGCCCCTCAACCACGTCGGCACCTTACCTTAGAGTAAGCAACGCAACACCTACAGACACAGAGTACGAATACAGACAGACTCGTAGAGTGTGGGAGAAAATACACCGCAGCAGCACCTCCCGCCAGTGCCTCCACAATCACCCGCTCCCCCCTCCGTCATGATAAACCCCGTTTTGGAGTCAAGTTATGCCATTTTGAGGCCAACATGCGGAGCGCCCAAGCTGTCACTGACGCATCTGACGCACACTGGCGAGTTGTTGTCGCTTCAAGATACAACTTTGGCTGTTGCTATCCACATTTGGCTCTGAGGTTGGCGAAAGGGGGCTGTGGCTGTTGGACGTGCTTCATGCACCCTATTTCCAAGTCAACTTTCTTTTTTTTTTTTTTTTTTTTCGAACCCTCACGTTGCTTTACGTCCGTCAGCATATGCAGGACCTTGCATATACCGCTTGCTGTTTACAGGTCCTTGAATTTACAGTACGGTCGAAAGTTGCGACGTACTTTCTTAGATGTGAGAGTTGATGGGAGAGTGGTACAGGAAGAAGAAAGCGCTACATAGACCGAGAAACGTACGGATACTTTTGTCACTGAGCAGACCAGGCTCGCAACATGAGCTGCATACACACTGATGATCCAATATATCTCCTTGTTCATGGAGGACGAACCAAGGGCCGCTGGACGCATGGCCGGCAACAGAGCGCAAACGGATAATTGAGCCTTACGGAGTATTTGGTGCAGTGCTTTGCAACCCGGTTGCGGCGACGTCAACACCTCCCACAGCAGACGGGTCAATAGATCCAAATCATACCGACGGCATCCCGCGGCGGCGGAGAGCGACGCCCCCAGGACCACACCTGACTGGCGGGGGAACGGCTCTGCTTTTTCGTACGCTGCCAACAGGCTACCGGACTACGAAGTGAGATACTTACAGTTGCAGACAGAGGCTCCCAACTGGGTCCTTGGTCCTGACAAGTTACCATCTGGGAATGCTTCGCACAGCATCTGCACCTTTGCTGTCTGTCTCATTTGGGGCCCTTGTCGGGCCCCTCGCGTCTACTGGGACAGGACCCGAGAGCACTGGCCCGCTCAAGGGGGGTTTAGCCAGATACCAGGGTCTGCACACAACTCGACTCTGCTCCGCAGACCAAATGTACATTCGAGAATGTACTGTCTACCGTGCTTTTTGACGTCAGGGATGTACCAAGGCCCAAGCTGCTGGGGGTCTGGCTGCCATGGCCCAAGGGGTTGCTGGCTGCCGTTCTGTAGCGCGGCAGTGGGTTTGAGGCCTGGTCTTCGGAGGCCACCAGCTCAGCCAGCGAAGTACCGAGTACCAGAGCTGATGAGTACCCATTGCTACTGCGCAGTATGGCTGACCGTCACCATTTTGTTCCCAGATACCCGTCTCCAGAAGTTGTCGACGACGACAGATGGTTCCTTTTCGCTCGAAAGCTAATGAAAGCCTGTCTCTGTGGCACACCACCGCGGCAGACGGCTCAGAGAGCACGACGGATAGAAATGGGAGACCATTTCAGAGACAGATCTTGGCATCCCGCATCGGTGGGCAAAGACAACGAAGAAGGACACGCCCCCTCTCCCTCTGTGTCTCTTGAAAGTGTCGAGAAGGCTCGCAGTCGAAGGTCGAAAACCCGAGTCTGGAATGGGCGCTGTTTCGTGGCTCTACTACCCGGCGTCCTCAGGCGGAGCCCCCAGCCAAGTCAAGCATGGCTAGTTCGTTTGGGTGCGTATCTTGCGCTAAATGAGGTATCCACGGAAGCAGAGGGGACAAGAGGGGATGGTGCAGACAGGCGAGGAGGTGGAGGAGGAGGAGGAGCAACAAGAACGAGGGACAAGAAGCCCGCCTCTCATCTGGTCTACCTATGCACGCACACCACCCACACGCCCCATGGACAAGGCTCATGCCCACCACACACCCACGTCGAGGTCTCCAGCAACCACCACCCTCCTCCCCACCACGCCCCCTTTCCGCTCGACGCACCCCTGACCCCTGCCGCAAGGTCGGCGTAGGGTACGGTACCGCCTCTCGCTCTGGCGTTGCTGCTGCCGCTGCCGCTTGCTCGCTCTCGTCGCTTTTGCTTGTTGCTCTGCCCTACGAGATTTCGACATTGCAGCAAAGGCACCCCTCCTCCCCCTGGGCGGCGTCGTTGGTCCCCTGTCCATCTTGGGGGTTCACCATCTGGAGGAGACTGATCCGCGTCGTCCACCGGGTCCCCAAGTGCCAACAGCGAGCAAGCCACGGCCGTCGAACCCATGTGCCCCCGGTCTGCAAGATGTGGTGGTCTCTTGTCTCTGCGTCTGTGTGTGTGTCTCTCTCTCTCTCTTGACAAGAGCGTAGCTCGCAGCCGGTCTATATCAGTCGTGAAGCCCCCAAGGCTCTTGGTGATTTGTTTCTCGCCCCCATCAGTCTCTACATCTATCTATCAGACCCAGATCTCTGGATACCTACGACACCAAGACGACGGTCCATCACCTAGTAGTCTGTCTCACGTTTCGAGAAAGACATCTTCCACCCAAACTGTCTCTTACTTCACTCTCGTCAGCAACAACTCTCTTGATACTACACTTTGTTACTTGACGTGGCAAATACTCAGGAACCACATCCTCGGAGGCATACTACCACCCGCAAAGTAAAGCTCTGCGAAAGAGAGAGAGAGAGAGAGAGAGAGAGAGAGAGAGAGAGAGAGAGAGAGAGAGAGAGAGAGAGAGAGAAAGCATTCGCCAATCATCCAACGGCCCCGGTACCTCACAACGCGGAAACGCCGCGGGCATGAACATCGCTGCAGGTGCGCTCACCAGCCCCACATCCAAAGCAGGCGCAGCACAGCGCAGCAGTTTTTAGCAGGTCAAATAGTACAGACGACTGACAGCAGCGGGAAGAATAGCAGTGACGGCATAATACAAGGCAACTGAGCGAGCAGCAGTGTGTATTCGCTTCGGACTGAGCGACAGCAACAGGCAAACCAACCAGCCAACCATATAACATCAACTCTGGGACTTTGCAACTCGGATTTGACCGAGAGGCCTTCCACAGATCATCACCCTTCACTTGTCTTCCCTCTTCACCACATCATCATAACACATCTACCTACAAAATGGCTTCGATAGACCAGTCATATACCATGCTCCCCAGGCACTTGAGCCCCCAGCACCACGACGACTACATTCTTTACCCCGAGCCACCACAGGGAGTCTTCAGCACAGCACCCATGGAGATGAGCATCCCTGCCGACGCCTCTTACATGTTCCCAACCTCCATGGCAATGGATCACCAGCCCGCCCTCTACGACAACAACTTTATGTACCAAGGACGCACATCACCTGGCCTCTACGAGGACGCCGAGTTCCAATTGCCTTCTTCCAACCTTTCCACCGCATCAGCACCATCGGCGGCCTCCTCCAACGTAGGCTCGCCCCAATCCCACAACGACCAGCCGGCGCCAATCCTCGACTGGGCGCACCCCGGCATCGCTGTGACCCCGGGCATCGTGCCCCACGACTACTACAACACCGCCGGCACAGAGTACTCGACCTACGCCGGCCCAGGTATGGAAGACTTTGCAACTTTCGAATTTGCAAACACCAAGCCCCCGGGTTTCGTGGGTGAGTTGCCAAACGCTTCTAGAACCACTCTTGCGCCCTCATCTCGCGCGCTTTCTTCTTTTCCTTCTGCTTCACACGAGTCAATTGGCTCTCCGTCTTCCAGTACAGCTATAGCTTCAGCTGTGCGTGTGCGTGTGCGCGACTCGGGCCCAGTGCTGGATACTCACTCGTCCTCCTCCTCCCCTGTCACGCCCGCATCGCGCAAGTCAAGCTTGTCCTTTGTCTCTCCTAGCTCTACTTCCTTCTCTTCTCCTCCGGCGCCCGTCTGGGGCCACTCGCCAAAGACTCCTCGAGTCTCTACTTTCTTTTCTCAGAGCAGCGGCCATTTCATCGCTCCTCTTGGTTCTTCTTGTTGGTTTTCCTCTGTCAAGCAGCAGCATAATCCTTATCGCGGAACGCCCGCTGACCACCTCTCCGCTCCAGACCCTTCTTTGATCCACCCCGACATCAGCCGACCCATGATGGCCAACTTCCAGAACCCCAACCAGTATCCCACCTCGCCTGCTCTCTCGCCCTCATCACAGTCAATGTCAATGGTTCGCAACGGCAGTCAATCGCCCTTCCTCCACAGCGGCTTTCAACAGCAGCAGCAATTCAGCCCTTACGCTACTCCCGGCGACGCCCGCCGCCCCAGCCTTCACTCATTCCCCTCAACCTACTCTGACGGCAACAACTACAGCGGCGATGAGGGCAAGGAGAAGCAAAGATGCCCCCATCCCGAGTGCGGCAAGGTCTTCAAGGACCTCAAGGCGCACATGCTCACCCACCAGACTGAGCGGCCCGAAAAGTGCCCCATTGTGACTTGCGACTACCACGTCAAGGGATTCGCTCGCAAGTACGACAAGAACCGCCACACCCTGACACACTACAAGGGAACCATGGTGTGCGGCTTCTGCCCCGGCTCCGGTTCGGCGGCTGAGAAGTCGTTCAACCGCGCCGATGTCTTCAAGCGTCACTTGACAGCTGTTCATGGCGTCGAGCAGACACCACCCAACAGTCGCAAGAAGAGCAGCAGCGCCAACAGCGGCAAGAAGCTCGCGGGATACCCTCCCGATGCCACTGGCAAGTGTTCCACTTGCTCGCAGACCTTCTCCAACGCTCAGGACTTTTACGAGCACTTGGACGACTGTGTGCTGCGCATTGTGCAGCAGGAGGACCCTTCCGAAGCCATCAACGCGCAGCGCCTGGCCGAGGTTGAGAACGACAAGGAAGTGCACCAGACGCTGGAGAAGAACCATCTGCCCACGCAGACGCAAATGCCCTCGAACGAGGAGGTCGACGACGAGGAGATGATGGAGGACGATGATGAGGAAGACAGCAAGCAGCGCATCAGCGCGTCGCCCAAGAGGAAGGGCAATCCGGTCAACGGCGTTCAAAAGTCGCGCGGCCTCACACACTCCCGTGGAGGTGGCCCGATGCCTGTCAAGGCCAAGGGCCGCAAGAACAGACGCGATTACCCTTCTTCTTGGGGCTTCGACAAGGGCCAGATGACGATGAAGAAGCGGGTGATGGCAGTGTTTGACGGTCCCCGGCGGCTGGCCAAGGACGACATGATGCTGTCGACGGATCACGAGGTGCGCATCAAGCTCGCGGACGGTAACAACTACGTGACGGACTTGGACGTGCAGACGCTGAAGCGTGCCGAGGGGTTCCTTGGTGCGACGGATGAGGAGAAGGGGCCCTGGATCTCTGACGATCCGACGGAGGAGCAGCTGCGGGAGATGCAGGCGATGCTTGAGAGCTGCCAGACGGCTCAGTAATGGAAGGTGGCGGGGGACGAAGTCATTGGGATGCTACATTGGTCTCTTTTTTCTTTTTTTTCTTTTTTTTTTTTTCGGCGGGAGCGATTTGAAGAGCGGCACAAAAAAAAATCTCTACACTACATTTTGGTGTTGCATGGTTTGGCGCAGACTTGTACGGGACTATAACGAATGGCTTACGAGGACGGGAGGGACATGAGGTTCATGATTGGACGGAACAAGTTCCATGTTGTTTTGCACCTTGAAGAAAAAAGGAGCATTTTGATTGATACCCTATACTATATTATAGCCCAAGGCTTGATGGTATAAAACAAGAGATACTTGTCACTCTCACTCTGGCTCTTCTCACTCGTGATGATGGGTTTACAACCGTGCTGCCTCGGGTATAATGATGCGATATGGATAACGAATCCCGATCTGATTACTCTTCGGAAACAAGGGATGACGGAACAGGAACAGGAACAGGAACAGCAACAGGCTGACGGGTTTGACAGCGCGACAGGGTCAGTGACTGGCAGCAAAGATCGGCAGCAATAGTGTCAAGCAAGGAGGAATTCGAATGGGGGAGCACTTGGATGGGAGAGCCGTGCCGAAAATCAGCAGCGGTGTTACCGGATCGGGGATGGGTGTGATGGGGGGTCCCCAAGATCCCCATCAGGCGTTGTCAGACTATCACGAATCACGATGGGCCCTTTGAGAAGAGCGGCTAGCCTAGCTGAGGTCGCACAAAAACCAAGGTCCCAGGCAGCAAGAATAAACGGTGAAGGGGGACGTGGTTAGTGGTTCCGACTTCCGCGCTCTGCGGCGTGGATGACCGGTGACCGGTGACGGGCGTGCCGGCCTGTTTGGGTAGCCCGTATCCGTAGCTGTGGCTAGGCGTTGGAGATGGGTGGCAGCCAGGCTCACGGGATTCGGGATCGGGGGTGGATGGATGGTTGATGACGATGGGATGAAATGTAAGGTACGGAGTACGTTTGTTCGTGTCAGGGTAAGCATCATATGCTGTGGTAGTATGATGAACACTGAAAAGTAAGATGACCCGAGGGGATGAAAATAGCCATGCATAAGTGGCATGCACATGTTGCGGCCGCAGTCCAAGGTATTGTCGGTGTGGTTGTACACTAATTACAAGCATTTTTGCACATTGGAAGGTTAAGGTACCCTATGGATGAGATCTGGTTTGCGGATGCGGGTGCGAGTGGACGGCACAGGGCGACACAGCCACTGCACTGCGCTACCTCTATCTTTTTTTTCTTTCTTTTTTGGGTCCTCTCTGTAAGGTTCCCTAGTGGTGGTGGTGATGACGGAGGGGAGAGGGAGCTCAGAGGGGTGGAGCGGAGGGTCACCCACCAACTAGCCCAGTCCACCGTCGGGGCGCGCGAGCAGACTGCTGTCGGGATGCGGGTTCCTACGAGTCCCCTAGCAATGCTAAGCTCCGGCTACGGGGGGTTGGCGGGGGGGGGGGGGAACCACTCTGCAGTCTGCAGCGATTTGTTTGCACAGCCACCTGCGCTCAGGTTCCCTCCACTGCCCTGGAGGAGGAGGGATGGAGACACAAGAAAAGGGACCCGCTGACGACGATTTTCTCCGGCAATGTGGTCCCTGAAGTGGTCCCTGAAGAGGCCCCCAACGCACCGACCGAGGGACAGCCCAGGCGGGAGAAACCTGGAGGAAGAAAACATCGTGGCCGGTGTGGCTGTGTCGCGGCAGCATCCGCGCCGCCGTGGTTGTTTTCCTCTGCCCAGGGCAGGTCCTAGGGAGTACGGGCAGGCTGCAGGTTGGTACCTTGCAGAGCATCCCAGAGGAGAGGTTTGAAGTAAAGTGCCTTACCTTACACGCTTACTCTTACTACTCCGTATGGTGGACGCAGTATAGGTGCACTATCATCATGAACCTGGGCGATCCTGACAATTCCCTCCAGGGAAGCTCCCACCTTCACCATCAACCCTGCCAGCCAACTAGGTATGAAGACCATGTACCTTACCTTAGTAACGTACCTAAGAACCACCTCATGGGAAGGTTATGTCAACTCCTAATGGGCAGCGGTGCCCTGTGTCGTGGGTGCGCGTCCACGTCCTCTACGCCTCCCGTCCCATCTCTTGCTCTTGCGTCTTTCATGCCGTGGCGTCGTTGAGGCTCAACAACTTTTCATCCCACATCACTGACATCAGACGCCGACGCGGTTCTTTGCGGCTCTGATGGCTGTGCGTATGTACTGTGTATGCGTGCCCCCTCAAACCCTTCTTCCTCCCGTCGGTGCCACCGCGAGATCTCTTCGGCATTGACAGACGCCACATCTCTTTCGTCCCATCTTTTGAATTTGACGTGTTCCCTGTTTTCGTGGCGGTGCCGTTCTCGGTCTTTTCTTGTTTTCTTCCGTTGGCGAATTTCGCTGGTTCGGACTCGCTGTGCACGATGCTGCTGCTGGCCGATGACTGAGGGCAGATGTACTTTGTAAGGTATCCATAGGTAGCGCAACTTCCATGTGAGGTGGATGGCGGGGCAATTTGACTACCCCGCCATGCGCCAATTGACCTCGTCTTGTCCTTGCACGCGCGCACACACCAAAAAAAAGGACGACAATTTTCAACCATTTGCCCAAGTCTTTCTTTGCATTACGCACCACCCTCAACGCCACTGCGCTTCAACGGCACTCTACTCGCGGCAGGCAACTCGTTGTCGAACTCGTCCTCGTCGTCGTACTCGCTTTCGTTCGCTTCGGTGTCCGTCGTCCTTCGGTCCCCAGCGTCCCGACCGCCCACTCCCCCTCCTCCTTCGACATCCCGGGCCCCGGCGCTCTTTCTCCGTCCTGTCCCGTCAACAATGGCGCTCACATCCCGTATCTCCCTGACCGGCCCGCCCGCCGAGTCCCCCGAGGACTACCTCATGTCCTCCCTCGGCGTAATCTTCCCCGACGACGTCACCAACCAGCACGGCGACGCCGTAAACGGCATCGAGTACACCTCCCCGCACCTCCGCCGTCCACTAACCTTTGAGCTCGCCGAGCCCGACGCCGCCGACGACCGCAAGCTCTTCAGCCACTACCTCTGGAACTCGAGCCTCCAGCTCGGCGAGTTCGTCGAGGCCGGCACCCTGGGCATCGACACCGCCGTGCCCATCCGCCTCGGGCCCCCGCTGTCGCACTTTGACGTCCGCGGCAAGTCTACCCTCGAGTTGGGCGCCGGCACCGCCTTACCGAGCATCATGTCCGCCCTCCTCGGCGCGGAACGCACCGTGCTGACGGACTACCCCGCCCCGGCCGTCATGAAGTCCCTCCGCCTCAACGCGACACGCAACATCGTCCCCGCCGTCTCCCCGACGGGAGCCCTCACGGCCCGCGAGGTCCTGGTCGAGGGCCACTCGTGGGGCGAGCTCGACGACGCCTTCTCCTTGGCAAACAAACACGCCTTCGACCGCCTGTTTGTCGCAGACTGCCTCTGGATGCCCTGGCAGCACGCCAACCTGCAGAAATCCATTGCCTGGTTTCTTCGCGAGGGCACCGAGGCCCGCTGCTGGGTCGTGGCCGGGTTTCACACGGGACGGCCCAAGATGCGCGGCTTCTTTGAGGAGGCGAGCTTGGCGGACGCCGGACTCGAGGTCGAGACCATTTGGGAGCGGGACTGCGACGGTGAGGAGCGGGAGTGGGCTTGGGACCGCGGCATCGAGGACGTGACGATTCGGAAGAGGTGGTTGACTATTGCCGTGCTTAAACGCAAAGATGCTGCGTGAAAGAAAGCAAAAACGAAACAAAAACAAGACAAACTATAAAATGGTGGCCACGGCACAAGTGGCCATGGTCCAGTGGACAACACACGGCCAGGGCACAGGGGGGGGTGGTTTTGGGCATGGAGGTTTTACTTATATGGAGGATGGTGCGGACCTCGACGGTCCGCTCTCTCTGTCTCTCTCTCTCTCTCCCTGATGCTGAGACATTCAACGACATCATTTCTCGATTCAGCTCTAGGCCCTAGGCTCTAGGCCCTATCCGAGGTCCCGCTCCATTCTCCGGGGGAACTTTTGCCTTTTTCCTCCTTCCCTCAACTCACTGACACTCTCATCTCCTCGGAGAAAGGTGGCTGAGGGAGCAAGTTAGCGCCCGTGAGGAAGATGACGGGGGGGATCTGTTTCGCCCGCAATCAGCTTTTTTGACGCAGGCATGGCAACAAAATAATACCTAAGCAACACAGGGCAGAAAGCGCATCTTGCTATGCTCGGGTACCAGGCCCGGTGCGGCTGAAAACCCTGATGCTCAGAGGCGCGCCTACGGCCCTACGGGGTACGGGTTCTCCTGTTTCTAAGCTGAGCTGAGCCCGGTTCACGGCTCTTGATTGGCTCGATCTTGGACATTGTGGCTGGCCCCCCTAGGCCCCTTGTTGAGATCTTTCTGAGAGGAACTTTTGGTTTGACGCATGGCGCTTTGGAATCATTGAAACCGTCGTCGTTGTCCTATTACGTTTTCTCACCCAGAACTTGATGGAGTAAGCTCCTTTGGGCAGTAGCCGAGGGTGGTCTAGATGCTAAAAGCCGGGACTCCCACTCAAGTGTTTGGGTTATTGTTTGGTGGTCGATGGCCGGGAGAGGTGTTATGAGTGGGAGAATCCATGCCCGTAGGATGGCTCGGAGGGGGAATACCACTAGAACTAGAACTAGAGACGGAGTTTGGTCCGAAAGAGGGGCCCGACCTATCAATAGAACTTGAGCCCCCTTTGAAGCTATCCACGCGCCAGCAATGAATTTCCATAAACTATTGACTCGTCCCCCATTATTTGCCGTACGGGGTATCTGACCTTCCTACTTCCCACCTTACAGCACCGCAAACATGTCCATCACAGCAGCTTCTCTCCTTCGAGACCCATCGAAACATTGTCCATTCTTCCCGCCCTCCGCATCAGCCCCGCTCCCCCATTCCTGTCTTTTTCCCATTCCGAGAGAAATCCCACATGAGACAAGATGCCCAAGTTTCGATCAGTAATCTTTTCTTCATTACCACATATTTTGCCATTGGTCCTAGTGTAGTGTATCCATTCATGTTCGTGTCAAGAAATGAGAAACTTCAGCTGGGCAAGCTGGATAGAGATAACTTTACATGCCTTGCCACCCCAGGCGCATTCGGTTTCGGTCTCGCGAGATAACCAGGAGCTGAGTGAGCAGGTTGAGATGGATACGTAGGTAGCAGGCAGGCAGGCAAGGTAAGGTACCAACCCCCCAACAGCAGCAGCGAACCCTCCCGTCTCTTTGCGTCGAGCTTGGCACCCTTTTCCGTGGTGATTTGAACCGGCCATGGAAAGTGATGAGAGAAAAGGAGGAGGGCCTCAACTTCCCGT